TCTATATTGTGTGTGGACTACATAGAAAAAAACAAGTACTTGCGCTCTATTGATTCTAGAATAAAAACTTGTATGTTTGCAGCCTAAATGTCCTATGCCATTCTGGAGACCGTAAAGCAGGGGTCAGCAAACTTTTTCAGCAGGGGGCCGGTCCACTGTCCCTCAGACCTCATGGGGGGCTCGACTATATTTTGAAAAAAGGAAGAAGAATGAATTACTATGCTCCACAAATAACCCAGAGATGCATTTTTAAATAAAAGCACACATCCTCCTCATGTGAAAACACCAGGCAGGCCCCACAAATAACCCAGAAATGCATTTTAAATATAAGGACACATTCTACTCATGTAAAAACAAGCTGATTCCTGGACCGTCCGCGGGCTGGATTTAGAAGCCAGTTGGGCCAGATCTGGCCCCCGGGCCTTAGTTTGCCTACCCATGCCATAAAGCATGGGCTAGCTGATTTGATGTAAAATATCCTAACAAAGACTCCTGAAAGCATCTCAGTGACGTCACAGTGCATATTATCCTGGTTTCTAGTGGTGATCATTGACAAATGACATACTCGATTCACAACTTTCTGATCTCCGGTACCCCACCACCCACAGTAACCCACACAAGGGTGGTCAGTAAATAAAAGCTAAAGTAATTGGCTCATTGTTTTAGGAGAAATCTAGGCGGCTTCTCCATGTCTTACACAATTCCTCCTGTTGACTGAGCTTAATTGTAATGTTGACTTGTGCCAAGTAAGTAAGCTTTAGTTATATATCTAATAGTTGTTAAGCACCTAAGAGGAATGGCACAGACCTTGGGATTACATTGCTAGTCACCCAAAGCACATGGTGTAATTAAGCTCAAATGCTGCTTCAAAAAAATAAAAAATCTTGTTACGGTCGTACCTTGGATCCCAAACGTCCTGGAACTCGGATGTTGTCGCCCGAATACCGCAAGTGATTGTTCCAGTTTGCAAACGTTCTTTTGGAACCTGAACATCCGGCGGGGCTTCCACGGCTTCTGATTCGCTGCAGGAGCTTCCTGCAGCGAATCAGAAGCCGCAATTTGCTTTTAGAAGGTTTTGGAAGTCAAATGAACTTCCGGAACGGATTTTGTTCGACTTCCAAGGTACGACTTTGTTTGTTTGTATTGGTTATATAGACCACCCTGTTTTATGCAGGTAGCTGTACCTGTTTCAGGAGGAAAAAAACGGTTTTGATTCTATTTTGGTTCAAAGTTGAAATCGGTTTTGCTAGTTTAGGAATTCCTATTGGTGTTTAATGAACCCATTATGTTCATGTCTGTGTACTCCTGCCTGTATGTCAATTCCTGTTGTTTTCTGGGAATGTACTATGCAGTCCTACACATGCCCACTCAGATTTAAGCTGTAGGACTGCAGTTGCCATCACCGCCCCCCCCCCATCCAGCATGGCTAAGGGTCAGGGATGATGTAGTCCAGTGGGTCACACATTCATCACAACTGGGCATAGGCAGAACCTGCTCTCCCAGCCATTGGGAAACTGCAACAGGCTTCATTCATTGCATACCCCTCAACTATCCCGGAAAAACTGGGACATTGTTTTTTTTTGCATGAGAGCACCAAAGCCATTTTGGGTGGCATGATCTTGGCCCCCCCCCCCCAGCAGGCTTGATTATTGTAACTGCCCTGGCTGCCCTTGAAGCTGACCCAGAAACTCCAGCGGGTGCAGAATGCCGCGGCGAGGCTCTTTATGGGGTCCTTGCCATGGCATCACATTCATCCAGTGCTTTACCAACTGCACTGGCTTCCAGTGGAGTGCAGGGTCAGGTTTAAGGTGCTGCTTTTGACCTTTAAAGCCCTTTGAGGCCTAGGACCCATGTAACTACGGGACCGCCTCTCCTGGTATGCCCTGCAGAGGACCTTAAGGTCTACAAATGACAACATTTTGGAGGTCCAAAGTTGCAAGGTGGTTAGATTGGTCTCAACTAAGGCCAGGGCCTTTTCAGTACTGGCCCCGACTTGGTGGAACGCTCTGTCACAAGAGACTAGGGCCCTGCAGGACTTGACAGCTTTCCGCAGGGCCTACAAGACAGAGCTGTTCCGCCTGGCCTTTGGTTTGGACTCAGTCTGACCCTTATATTTCCCTCCCCTTATGGTCTTGATTTATCGGCTACTTTAAAATGAGGCTGCATTTTAAATTGCATTTTAACCTGTATTTTAAATTGCCCTGCCCCCATTATGTCTTTACTGTGATTTGACTGGTGTTAGCTGCCCTGAGCCTGGCTCTGGCCGGGGAGGGCGGGGTATAAATAAAATTTATTATTATTATTATTAATTTATTTATTATTTTTAGGGGCTGCGACCTCATGTTCATAACGTGACTCACCTGGGAGCGTGGCCCAGAGGACGCATCCTGGTTTGTGGCCTGGACATGTTGGAGGGTATGCCATTGGGGCTTAACTGATAAAGGTCTGCATGGCATCCATAGCCCTGACAACTTTCATTTTTAGAAACAAAGCCCTGTAGCTGGGAAGCGAATGTTGAAAGTTTGAGCTAGAGTTAAAACGGACATTAATCTCGACTTTCAGGAAGGCAATGATTTAACAAAAGACTGCAGAGCTGACCTTGTAAACGGTCAACCAGGACACTCCATGCAGCTCACTTCAAGGCTTTCTGCGCTTACATTTCTTCTACACCAAGGGTCTGCAACCTGCGGCTCCGGAGCCACGTGTGGCTCTTTTACACCTTTGCCGCGGCTCCGGGGCGGATACTAGCGAGGGGAGGAGGCGCATTGTGCGCCCTGACACTCCCCACTGTGGTGGGCGCTGTACTGGCTGTGACGTCGCATGGGGGCGGTGCGTGCGTTAGTCACGCACCGTCCCGACATCACCTTCCCGGCCGCTGTCAGATCGGAGGGCAGCAGCGCGCATGCTTTCAATGTCGCAATGGTTTTGCGGTTCCTAGGTTTTTTTCCTTCGGAAACGGGTCCAAGTGGCTCTTTTTGTCTTAAAGGTTGCAGACCCCTGTTCTACACAAACCTACAACCAATGCAATTATGGAAATAAGATCTGCTATAAATAGTGTGAAATTGAGAGCAGTTTAGATTATACAGGCCCGCAAAGCGAAGTAACCTCTACTTATAATTTTCTGCCCTTTCTACCCAAACCGGCAATTACCTCCACATTTGTAATCAAAGGGAAGGCAGATTGCAGAATGTGGCACACACTGCCACGGGTACGTGGTCGGCTCAGTCCCATCTTGACGTGTGCCCCCACCTGCAATTAGCTATAGCCTCAGATGACTCCTGCAAAAGTTCCAAAGGCAGCAGGAGGTCAATGAGAGAAACGCAATGCTTTGCAAAAGGAGGCCATGTTTCAAAGCCACAAACGGTGCAACCCCATAAATGCGTTTATTCATCAGTAAGACCCATTGGTGATCAGTGGAACTTACCCTAAGGTCGGCGGTTCGAATTCCCGTGACAGGGTGAGCTCCCGTTGCTCGGTCCCTGCTCCTGCCAACCTAGCAGTTCGAAAGCACACCAAAGTGCAAGTAGATAAATAGGTACCACTCCAGCGGGAAGGTAAACGGCGTTTCCGTGCGCTGCTCTGGTTCGCCAGAAGCGGCTTAGTCCTGCTGGCCACATGACCCGGAAGCTGTACACCGGCTCCCTCGGCCAATAAAGCAAGATGAGCGCCACAACCCCAGAGTCGGCCACAACTGGACCTAATGGTCAGGGGTCCCTTTACCTTTAGGTCTGTATAGCAGTGGTGAGGAATCATTTTCTAGCCTCAGAGCCACACGGGGAACCTTTTTTTGGGCTGCATACTGAGGACAGGGGTGCACGAAAAGGGCAAAAGCAGGCAAAACAATGGATGCGGCTCTTAAATCTGTACAGGTTACCTTCTAGCCTTGCAAGAATCGGGGGCAACAACACAAACACACCCCTGCAAATATGTAAACTGAATTTTCAAAACTACACACTTGAAGAGCCAATTGTGGCTGTGCATACTTTAAGATGGCTTATATACTTTTTACATCTACTGTTTTTCCGTGTATTAGACGACAATCTCCCCCCCCCCCCCCAAAAGATCAACAACTCTGGGAAATTCTCCTTAAAAAAGCTTAACAATTCTTGGCAATCTCCCCCCATTTTCTTAATGCTGAGTCCCCCAAAATAGGGGGTGTCTTATACACCAAAAAATAGGGTAATTCACACTGCATAATTAAAACAAGATGGTGGTGATGGTGATTATTTTACGAAATAATGTCCGTGTTTAGCTTTTCATTCATGCACTTTTAGTGCCCACTCTAGGAAATCTATTCAAGTGATACAACTAAGGCTGATGGTTAAAATGATTGTGACAGACGGGTTTAGTGTTTTCAGGCTTTAAATAGACATATTTCACCAATACACGTATTTTGTTTTGATTAGTAGCTGGTAAATGATATACCAGATTAGGCAGGTGCCTTTGCTGCAGTTTTTGGCACCTCTTAAAAACCTTTTAAACTAAGCCTGTCCAAACACACATATTTGACATGTATTTTAATATGCCATTTGATTTTTACGTGTATTTTTAAAATGGGTTTTATTAATATTCGGGGGGGATATTTAACTTGTTTTTAAAACATCTGATTTACAATTTAGAATTGTAGAGTTGGAAGGGTCGATAATTTTGACATATACAGTGGTACCTCGGGTTACATACGCTTCAGGTTACATACACTTCAGGTTACATACACTTCAGGTTACAGACTCCGCTAACCCAGAAATATTACCTCAGGTTAAGAACTTTGCTTCAGGATGAGAACAGAAATCGTGCTCCGGCAGCGTGGCGGCAGCAGGAAGCTCCATTAGCTAAAGTGGCGCTTCAGGTTAAGAGCAGACCTCCAGAACGAATTAAGTACTTAACCTGAGGTACCACTGTACTTTATATGGACAGCTTAGAGGTTTTGATGATCAAGCATTATCTAAATCCTATCAAAATACAATTATTCTGATAAACAAGCAAGATGTTCTAAGTCTGCTCATGTCCAGATTACAGATTTTATTTAGGAAAATGAATTCCAAATGCGAAAACAGAAATAGGCACAGAGAAAAATTTGGAATACCTGTTAAGACAGTGGCTTCACAACCAGAACTGCAGATCGGAGGGCTTTCAGATTTTCAATTCTTTAACAAGAAGCCTTTGTGGTCCCTGGGGCAAGTAATGGCTAACCAGTTTTGTGACAGCTGTTACTGCATCTTGGTCTGCATCAATTAAGGTGCATTAGATTCCCTCCCATTTTTTTTGCATCGCAGTGTCCAATACATTATGTGAAAGAAGTCACACTGATTTCTGCCCCAGAGGGATAAGCTGTATTAGTCAGTTACAACGAAGAGTATCTTAAATGGCACTTATAAGGCTAAAAGAAACATTTACTTCATGGACTAGAGAGTTTCACCATGTCCAATGTAAAAAATACTGTTCTCGTTTGGCAGACTGCGGGTGGAATTCAATACTGCGCTATGAGAAAACATTGCATCTGCACCAGCATTTCAGCTTGCCAGATGTGTACAGCGTCTGCTGATAAATTAGGTGAATCCCACCCTATAAATCTACACGAAGAGAAGTACAAAGAGGGAAGAGGGAAAAGAATAAACGGGAGTTTGCCATTCCATTCATTCAAGCGCTTCAGATCAGAGTTGTTCTAGCTGAAGTCAAGTTTTATATTTAATCACAACTTCATAATATGAGAATTTTGGCCAACAACTGACATTATGGGGAAGTGGGGGAGAATTAAAAAAAGGCCAACTTGCAGTTTACACAGACAGGTGAACAATCTAAGGGACTTCTGGTCTGCCAATAGCTGTTTTGCTCCTTGTAGTCAGGAAAAAAACCCCAGAACAGTGCACAGAGGGGAGGAGGGTGGAATCGTTCTGTTTGGCAATCAGAAATGCTTGCTCTGATGGAAGGGTCAAAAGACAGCAATGTTGAATTCCTCCCAAATTGGCGGGAGAATTGATTCCCTCCCCCGATTCACGTTTATGTTTGACGGAGATAGAACAATTTTCAAAGCCGCTTCACTTGTGCTACCCTCAGTGTTGGAAAAGCCGAAGTGATTGTTCATGTTTATTGGGGGGGGGGGGGGAGTCAATTATTCAAAGAGATTATAGAGCAATACCATTATCTATATGGCTGGTATCCAGAAAGTTTGCCATTATCTTTAAGTATTTAGTTCTGATTTTGATGCAAGTTGAAATGCTCATCAAAACCACATTAAAAAGGTATATATATATATATATATATATATATATATATATATATAGGGGTGATCTTAAAATCAGAAGAGGAAAAACCCCTGAGCAAGATCCAGCATCATGTGAGCAAATACAATGGGATTTCTCCTGCCTCTCTGCATCTCTCTCTCCCACCCCCACCCCCCATATCTCTGGTTGGTCCACCAACCATCCTGAGCAGATTCTTTGAGATTGCTGGGGGGAAGCAAAGAAAGAGGAAATCCACTGTACAATCAAGACACCATATGATAACATTGAGCCTTGAATGAAAGCAATTCAAAATCTCAACCGTGTCTCATTTTCCATAATTATACACTTTTCAGTGGTAGTGAAATAATACTTGAGAAATCCACATGCCATCTTCATATAAATCTCTCCAAACCCATGAATCCATTTTTTTTTAACAAAAGAAACTAATAAACATCCAGCAATCTTTGGTTATTTTAGTCCTAATTCAAATGACATATCCAATCTTGCCCCAAATATGCTGAAAACATCTAAGACACTGTTCTGTTTCAGCTAGAAGAGAACTCTGGTATTGGCACTCTCTGAACAACAGGTTTTTAAGATCTAAAGAAAAATAAAATAAAATGTTATCAGCTGTGTAGGCCAGCTTTTAAAAATTGTCACCTATTCTCAACTGCATTTCCAAGAGCAGAACTTGATCCATTAACAGATTTTTAACATAGTTGATGCTTATTCCCTCCAGATCTGATGAAACCAAAGCCTCACATTAGTTTTCTGAACTTTTTTGAAGCTCTGAATGTGAACAATGTGGGATTATCAGGTGTAAACATACACAACTGAGTTCTGTAATGTCTAAATTCTAAGCAGCAGGTTGCAGTTTTCTCATCAAAACTAATAAAAAACCGCTATCAATGTTGTTCTGCAGTACAAACAAATACAGGGGATTTGTTATTTCTGACATGAAACCTTTTAACGTCTGTACCATAATTGGAAAATCACCTAAAGAACGAAAACTAAGGAATGTGTAGCACTTTTAAAGAACATAAATAAAATTTACAAACAAGTTTGTAAAGCACTAATATTTCAGTAAAACAAATTGCTTGACTGTTTTATTATCAAAATAAACTACATTTGATTGCTCCTGGAGTCAAAAACCTGTAAGCAGCGATCATAAAAAGATGGGTTACTGGAAACATTCAAAATTCCAATGATGTTTACAAGTACTTTGTACAAAAAGTCCTTTAAAGATGTTCCGTATGTTGCAAAAAATACAGCTTTCACCACAAGGCAGAAGTATTTGCATTTCAAAAGCAGTCTACTAGAGTCATTTGCGCCTATGTGGGGAATCGCCCCTGTGCTTTCGCCTGCCCTCATCTCTCCTTGACTCTTTAAATTGGTCCGGATATTGCCTGGGCTCATCCATCCTGGGATTGGGATAGTTACGGGGTCTCTCTCTAGACTTTGATCTGTCTTTCCTCCGTCTGTGGAGTTCACCATCCTTATCACGGCGACTGTCCCTCCCTTCGTTTTCAGAAAAAGAATTCTGCCTTTCGGCCCTCTTCTTCTTAGATTGGCTACTTTTGCTTTCCGAAGGCATATTTCTTTCCTGATCCCTGTCCTTTCCACCGCTGTAGGTGTTCCTGTCAGCGGAATAATCTCTGTCATGGGAGAGTTTCTGTGGTGCATCATCTCTCCGACTTAAGTCTCTTGAATTCCTGTCAGCATTCCTCTCAGCACCATTTTCCCTCTCAGGCTGCCTCTTCTCTTTTTTCCTGTCAGGCTGTTTCTTACGACTTCCTTGCTTTCTCTTGGCATCTCTGTCCGACGCTTTCTTCTTCTGTGATTTCTGCTTTCTCACATCTGAAAGGATCATAAACAGAATTTACCCTTTTAATATATTCACATTCCTTTATCTGCACGTCAAAATATATTGGCTTTATTTAAAGAACCTACAGCAGGCTTCCTCAACCTTGGCCCTCCAGATGTTTTGAGACTACAATTCCCATCTTCCCCAACCACTGCTGCTTCTAGCTATGGATCATGGGAGTTGTAGGCCAAAAACATCTGGAGGGCCGAGGTTGAGGAAGCCTGACCTACAGTAAGGGGAAGGACCACCAATTTCCCACTGCAACAAAGACATTTAAGCCATTCTGGGGTGTCTTCTCAACTCTCTGGAGCAAACTGAGCTGCAGACAGGAGGGAAATAAACCTAAATAGACAATAAGGAATATTTTCTTCTCATGCAGTGAGACCTTTCGATCCAAGCTACAGAAAATTTTACAGATACTTTGACAATCATATTATCAAGTTGTGCTCTGGGTACTGAGCTTGAGTTAGTAACTATGGATGTGTTCATTTCCTTCTCTTTGCTGAAGGTTTTTCCAAAACTTGTGGGAGATATTTAGCTTGCTCTGTTATTTGGACAACCACTCAGAGAAAAAGAGAGAAAAATCTATGTAATGTCAACATTGCTCATACTACTATTTCCTACAGACTTTATTAGATTTTAAAAGTCAGGAAAGACAGTTCAATTCAGCTCCATTTTACTTTCCTCTCAAAATCCAGAGGGCCAAATAATTTGGACTACTTAAAAATAATTTTATTCCCCATCTGTGTACTGGTTTCATTTTTACATTCAGATCAGTAAACAGGTAGGGAAGGGGGGGGGATATTTAACATGGGAACTGGAACTCTAGACCATGTAAAAAGTATCTTAGGAGACGCATATTCTTTACCTTTACTCAAGTTCTTAGTACTCAAGGTAACTTCCGTGCTGCAACATGAGCGCTTGCATGTGCCCTAGACTAATGGATGTGCATGCAGTTCTTTCTTTGTACTATTTTAAGAATTTGCAACTAGAAATTGGGACTTAAAATATGAGCTGCCAAGGTATATTCACCATCAGCAATAATATGCTAAACAGACTCGCTGTTGGGACGAAAAGATGACTACACAGCACATCACTGAAAACTGACCGTACTTCTTCCTACTGCATGTATTGTACAACATGCTGACCAGATTCATCTTCCTGTCTTTAGATAACAAGGAATTGGCTGATCTGTCTTCAGTGGCAAAAAAGCCCTCCTTGAAGTGGACAGTTATGCCCAAATGCTAAGCCACCTGCCTTTGGAGGATCTGGAGTGGGGGAAAGGGGGAGCAAGAAATATCTCCTTATATGAGCAGAAAGAGTCTCACAATACTTTGGATCAAAATCACCATACCTCATATACATTGCCTCTATGGTCCTTGCAACGAAGCAGTAAGGTATTGTTACCCCCTATCACAGACGTAACTTGCCTAGAATTGTCCAGTGATAAAAGTAAGATGTGCTGGGCTTCCTACACATGTTCATAACTTCTATGCTATACCAATAAAATGAGCACTTCCTGACCATAATGCTCTCAACACAGCAGCTTTAATGCTATGTTGTGATATGATGAATTAAGTTGTCAGTAACTGTCCCATGGTCTGACTTTTAACTGAAAGTTACAATGAAGTTTCAAAAGGGTGATGATCCTTCAGATTACAGTGGTACTTTGGGTTACATACGCTTCAGGTTACATACGCTTCAGGTTACAGACTCCGCTAACCCAGAAATAGTACCTCAGGTTAAGAACTTTGCTTCAGGATGAGAACAGAAATTGTGCTCCGGCAGCGCAGCAGCAGCAGGAGGCCCCATTAGCTAAAGTGGTACCTCAGGTTAAGAACAGTTTCAGGTTAAGAACAGACCTCCAAAACGAATTAAGTACGTAACCAGAGGTACCACTGTATTTATTTTCAGTCGTCTGACCTCTCAAATTTAAGTCTTCGATTTTCCCTTGATTGCAGGACTGTAAGTTAATTTTAGTGCAGTTTTGTCCCTGCCCACCCAACCTTATACTGGAGTACAAATTTAACATGCTGAGCATTTTGAGAAGTAATTCAATGTGGTTTGGAGACACTGGGATTTTAAAGGAGATACATAAAGGAAATCCCAGTGGAAGGCATTTGTATAGAGGCATACAGCAAACTTTGGTATCTGTTAAAATATAAAGACCTGCATTCCCCTTTACAAAAAGATACAGTGGAGTAAAACCAATAAAGCTTTAGCACAATAGTCAAGTTTTATAGTAGTATCTTCTTGAGTTTTCTGGTACAACCCTGAGGTCTGAAAGTTGCTGAAAACAAAGTCTTGACTCCCACTACTTCTGCTAGATAGACATTCTAGATATCCTCTGCCAGACATTCTGGAAACACTCCTCTAAAATAATGCAACATCTTCATTGTTGCAGAATTACACAAAGATAAAAAGTACAGTTTGAACAGCAGCAAACTACTAGCCTGAAGTTCTCTTCACAAAACTTTGCAAGTAAAATAGAAGCTGACTCTTGCATCAAACAGTCTAAGTACCCCTGGCTTTTCATCATTTTGGCAATATTTCTGCTTGTGATGTACAAAAAATGAGAGAAATCGTAACAATTCAGAGCATACCGCTGAGACTATCAAATCATTTCATTAGGGTATCTTTTTTTTATCCAATGGGAAAAAGGATAAAACATTAGAATAGAATGTATTAAATTAAAACCGAACAGCAAAAAGAAAGAAAGAAAGCCCTGCGCACTCTAGCAGAATCCGTTAATTTGTCACCAAGGACCTCCCTGGTTCCCATCTTGCTGCAGCTGTCTATGCAGGAGCCATCTGGCTCTCTGCTGAAATGCCACTTCCCTGACCCCGCTTCCATTCTGCCTTCCTTTACTGCTCTGGTGTTACTGATGAGTTGCCTGGTAATAGCAATAAAAAGCAAACGCCGCAAATTACAGAGGGCTGCTTTTCATGCTTTCATAACCTACACTGGGTTTTTGTGAATCAGAAGACTTCTGCTCTTAAAACCCACCGATAAATCTAATTTATTTTAAGTCAGCATGCTTCTTGCCTGCATAAGCTCATGCTGGGCGATCATCTGCTCTCACAGCTAACTGCGTGCGTGATCCAGACTGGGCTAGCAGGCATTATTGGGCTTAATAAGGTTCAATTATATAATTCATATCAACTAGTTGGAATGAAAAGTCAGTAGAAACACTTGCTCAAAAATACTAATTATAGAATGGAAGTTACTAGATATACTGTGCTGCTGTCAGCAAAAGTACCTTGGACCCGGAAAGAAAAACACAATACAAACTGTTTTACGTTCAGTCATAATAATGGTAGAATGCTACCATAAATATTTTCTGCTTCAGATACACATATCTGACACACACGTACACAGCAACAGAGAAAGAGCTGCTTATTGTTTGTTTGACTGACAAAACTGGCGGAGAAAATAACTTGTTTACACATCGGCACTGCCTAAGGCAGGGAGAGAGGATTTAAAGGTGACCCTTTAGCTCCAAACACACTGTTGTCCACATTGGGTAGTTCAGTATCTCACTGCTGAACAGCTTGAAGTGAGTTCTTCTGCGTCACTATGATACGATGGCCATGCAATAGGCTTGTTTGGCTGCCTATTACAAGGCACGACATGAGCCATTCTAATTATCCAGGTGCTCACATTTTGAAACCTTCAATTGTGCAAACGAGTCAGATCCAGTTTTTCTGCAGACTAGCCACTCAAACAAGCACGCTCAAACTGCAATTCCAAACACACCTACTAGGGACTATGACCCATTTAAACACAGCAGGGCTTACTCTGGGATAAAACTGTTTTTCCAAACAAGGAAAGGGCTAGTTATCAATATTTCTTTCTTTCTTTTTACCATGTATCCATTTCATTTTCAAGCTAACAACTCCATGTGTAAATAATTATGAAAATAATGCATCGTAAATCAGTCTCCCAACAATGTGATCTGACTTACTGAAATCACATGGGGCTGTGGTTGAAATGCAAACATTTGTATTTGCCTAGATTTAAAATGTTGGCTTTGTTTTGCAAATAAAATACCTAACGTTATCCAGATCAGTCTGGGAAAGAGTTATACGTGCCATTTTCAGGCTGACAATGCATTGTTGAAAAAACTCCTGCAAGTTTCAAATAGCTAAAATCAACAGGAACTAATAAATGAGTAAATAGATGCTGCTATTTTTTTCCTCAGTTAATGTGCACCAGGGCATGCAGAGTAAAAAAGAAAGAGAAAAAAGGTGGAACTGAGTACCAGAGTCACTGCTGCGCTCACTGTCAGATGATGATTCACTTTCACTGGAGGACTCTGAACTGCTGCTGCTGCTGTCGCTACTGTCATCCTCTGAACCGGACGAATCAGATTCTGAAGATGAAGACGAATCTGAGGACTCCACATCTTGCTTCTGCGTCATGATAATTTTTGGTGCATTCTTCAGATGTTCACGTAGCTCATCGCTAGTTAAAACACATTGAGCACGTTATAATTTAATTGGCTGGTGCAAAGGCAAAGCGTTACTTCTCTCAGCTGTGTGTCCCAAATGTGAACTCGTTTGTTTGTTTTTGCTTCACAAAACTGACCCAGGTACCACTGAGCCAGTCCCTATCTGCAAAGCCCCACCCTCTGTTTTCTGCTCTGTGAAGCCCCATCCCACTATCTGTTTCTTTTTGAGATGATGAAATATGGTACCGGGGTGCGGACTGGATTATATGACACCTGCCGCTGATTTGTCCTGCAGACATGGCGTGCGATGTGGTCTGCAGACATGGACTGAGAACTCTCCCCCCTCCCCCCAATCCAATACTCCTACATGCCCACGTGTGTTTGAAAAGGACCTGGGCAGGTAGTACTGGTTACACTGGCGATTTCCACACTCTGGGGGATTCCCTATGATATCAATCGCACAATCTGGGTTACGGACATTGGATTCTACACATGCAGGCCGTAGCTGAACAATGTGCCTCTGTGCAGACATCAAAGGCAGGGAAGGCAGAGAAGAAGTTTGTTATCTACCTAGCATGTATATGGGCCAGTTCATGGAACCGTTAACATCTTGCTGTTAACCCTGACTGCTTTTATTGTGTAACAAAATGGATTTCCTTACGTCAGTCCTCCAAGACCAATCGAAGTGAAGAAATTGATGGCGAATCTAGTATTTCTTGGGTTATCCCGAGGTAGCAAACCTTCAAAGAATGGCTGCAGAGTTCTGTTAAAGATGAAACATGGCAACAATATTTTAAAATGCTGGATAGCTGTAAACTAAAAATATACATTCATTTTTGATCCAGAGGCGATTTAGAAATGTTACTTAAAAAATATATTCTGAGCTACTTTAATTCTGAAAGAAGCAAAAAAAAAGGATGGTTCTATTTATGCAGCAGTACACAGACAGATAGAATCTATGGCCCTTTTAAAATATATATTAAACTGCCAGAGATTTAAAGCAACTAGGTCCCTAGACAACTAACTGTTCCGCATATCAAACTTAAAACAATTAAGGATAATAAAAGTTAATTTTGTAAGTCCAAAAATAATGGGCCTGGATCAATATATTTCTCTTTACTACTATAAGTAATGTCAAGCTAGCCAATAGATCAGCTCTGTCCAAAAGAAACAGGTGTTTTGTGATTAAACATTTCAAAATCAATATTGCACAGCAAGGCTATCTCCAATTTACCATGTACCTAAACAAGTCTTAAAATCTCTGACAGTTGCTCTAATTTGAGAATTGCTATAAAGATTATATATATATATATATATATATATATATATATATACTGCCAAATGCTTGGGCTCGGGGAAGTTGCCCATGTTTTCCCCCAAAGCATCTGAGCACTGAAACAAAACAGGCATTTAAACATTCTGAAATTAAGAATGATATTCATCTACCAGTCTTAAGACAGTACTGGTCAATAATGCAAGAATTGTTAGTATCTACCCATTTTGCTCATTCAAAACTCCTCTGCATTTTTCAACTGTCCAAATTTCTACACTAACATATGTCGGCTCTTCATATTATTTTGCATCTCATTCTTTGGGGCCAACACAGCAACAAGATGGTTAGATTCATCCTAATTTACAACCTCTTAAAAAGATGCTTCCGTAAAAAAAGAGTTTTGCCAGGAGTTTAATGAAAGGTTTGGAACATGTGTTACCATGAACAAATGAAGTGAAGGGTGCAGATGGGGGGGAAAATAAAAACAAGAAGTCAACTAACAGTAGATGGTCTGGCAGTGGGAGGGGAAAAAATGAGACAGATGAAGTGATGGCTATTGTGCTTCTCCAGGATGCTGATGTGTTGATGTGCTGTTTTTTGACACAAGATCAGTGGTAAATGCCAGGCATTTGTGAGTTAATTAAGGATGAGGCTAGTCTAGTAATTACGGTCTGGTCATGGATATGGGTGAGCCAGAATCTAGATTCCACTGAAATAATGATGGCTTGGAGGATGTGTGGTTCTCTCTTGGGGTAGTATTGGGAGTCTGGGTTTCATCTGGTTTGGGGTGGCTGTTAGGAAATTTTTAGCATGTGTTAGGTTTTTCACCTGTCTTATTTTTAAGGAGGTGTTTTCCATATTTCACTCTACTTCCCTATGTCTGTCTTATGTCATACTAAAGAATATTACACCCTGCCCATTTTCTGATGAACGCAAGTATATTATGAGTCTCAAAAACAAAGCCAAGCCACAGACCTCCTACTTTTGAAAACTTAGATAACTCTATGGTAGTTACCTCTGCAAAGCAATCTTTTGAACAAAATGTGGGGTAGCCCCTAATAAGCAAAGGATTTTAGGTACAGTGGTACCTCTGGATGCGAACGGGATCCGTTCTGGAGCCCCGTTCACATCCTGAAGCGAACACAACCTGCGTCTGCGCGTGCCGCGATTTGCCACTTCCGCGCATGCGTGTGGCGTCATTTTGAGCGTCTGCACATGCGCGAGCGGCAAAACCTGGAAGTAACATGCTCCGTTACTTCCGGGTCACCGCAGAGCGTAATCTGAAAATGCTCAACCTGAAGCGACTTTAACCTGAGGTATGACTGTATACTAAACGGCACATAAGACCATAAATTTGTGATATCACCATGGAAAGATTTAGTTTTGGGGGAGAGGCAAGAGATGAGACCACAGACCCCCTGGGTGCGTTCTGCAGACCCCCCAGGGATCCCCAGACCCCTAATTGGGAACCACTGCTTTAGGGCTTTACAAATAAATTTGAGACCCTTAAGCAGGCATGGTGGTGAAAGGGCTGCCCGTGCAAGCTGTTAAACACCAGTGTTATGTGGTGGCAGCAGCCTGACCTTTGTCAACACTACAGCCACAGCATTTTGTGCCAACCAGAGCTTCCCAATCAGTCCCAAGGGTAGTCCCACCTAGAGTGCTTTGCAGGAATCAAGTCTTCAGGTCACCAATGCATCCATCGGCTCCAAAGGATTACAGTGAACAGGACTTGCTCACATCAAGACACTGTAAAACTAGCTTGCAGTGTGAAGCTTCTACTTACTCATCTTTCAATCTTGCATTAAGATTAGGAAGTCCCATGTATTCACTGAGTCCCTGGAAGAAGATTTTAACAAAAATCCTACTGGAGGACGTTGTAGTTTCTTCGCTTAGCGTTATGCATTCAAGAACCTACAAGTCAAAGTTATAGTGGGTTAATGCTAAACATCCTCTCCCCCACTTTAAAACAATCTAGTTTATTATTTGTTCCCCAAATAGTAAGTTCTAGACTTGGCTCCAGCTGACAGAGACAACTTAGGCCTATTCTTCCCTCCACTTGTGACCTCACAGTACCAGCCTCTACATGGTTCTGGAATGCTGGGAGACAGTGAGGGAAGAGGCAGGGCGAGTTGGGAAACTTCCTAGTGGGATTCCTCCAGATTAAAAGCCTTATCTGGACAAGAGGCATCTTTCTAACTAGAGACGGCAATGCCTGGATCCGGCACGCATGCGTGGTCTTTCTTTTAAATAACAAATTCATACAAACTTCAGATGACTTCGCAGCTGCCATCACATAGCTTTGACACTTTCCGTTCATTTAACATCCGGTCTCAATTCCAAACAGTTTATCTGAACTTTTTCCTGAAATGAGGCTTCAAAGCTCTCACCTGTCAGTGCCAAAACAAACCTGGCGCTCAGCTCAGGGTATGACTTCTGGCAGATCCCACCTACATTTTTCAGTGTTGCAAGACAGATCAATTTTGCCTTTTCAGAAAGCATTTTCTACTCACACTCCACGGAAGCGAATCTGTATATAAAAGATGCGCAAACATCTTGGCAACATTCCTCAACTTGTTTGTTTCCAGCCGGTGTATTGTGTCATACTGCTCTTTGAAAATGGCTTCAAATGCTTCCATGTATTCTTTTTTCAACATACAGAAGCGCTGAAAATGCAGGACACAGTTAAGAAGGGGAAAGAAAGAGTTTAGAAACTGAATATAGAAGTATGGCGGACCAAAACAGGAAAACAATGAAGAGACTGTATAAATCTTAATTTTCAAATATTGGCTTGGGTCCTAAAGCTCCTTGGGGGCAAAGCAAAGACACTTCTGCCCCATGTTTGGGGTAGTGCTTTGCAAGGTTATGGGGAACACGAATGAATGGGAAAGTCAGTAAATTGCAGGTGGGCAGCAGTGTCTTCCTTTCAAGCAGCAAGTAGGGAGCCTCAGGCCTAAGACCTAATGCACTGCTGTCCTCCATGCTTCTCTGTTCAGAGAAAACACTTCAAACTCCTATAGAAATAGTGCTGAAAAAAATGGCTTGGATCCTAATTTCCTTTCCATGGACGGCATAGAATTCCACACTAGTTGAAGATGAGCTTCTTATAGTTTTGTAGGTAAAGGTAAAGGGACCCCTGACCATTAGGTCCAGTCGTGGCCAACTCTGGGGTTGTGGTGCTCATCTTGCTTTATTGGCCGAGGGAGCCGGCGTACAGCTTCCGGGTCATGTGGTCAGCATTACTAAGCCGCTTCTGGCAAACCAGAGCAGTGCACGAAAACGCCGTTTACCTTCCCACCGGAGCGGTACCTATTTATCTACTTACACTTTGACGTGCTTTCAAACTGCTAGGTTGGCAGGAGCAGGGACCCAGCAATGGGAGCTCACCCCATCACGGGGATTTGAACCGCTGACCTTCTGATCGGCAAGTCCTAGGCTCTGTGGTTTAACCCACAGCACCACCTGCGTCCCTTTTATAGTTTTGTAGACTCCCCCAAATAAAAATCAGGTTTTGAGTTTTGAAGTGCTTTAAAGCTCACGGTTGCTAAAGGAAGGCTTGAAAACAATGGAGAAAACCTTAACGGTAATCTAGCTCAGGGCGGTCTCTAGGTCTTTTTTTTGCGGCCCTCGGCAACGTTGGACACCTGCCCCAGACCTCCCAACCCCTTCCCAAAGCCTAGTTAGCACTTTCCCAGCTTTGGAAAGGCAGTGGTAGGATCCTGTGGAGCCCTCAGGCCTCCTGCCAAAAGCCAGTGCCTTGCTTAGTTGACTTTGGGAACGCAGCCTAAGGGGTGGGGCATCAAATTTTGGGCTCTCTCCCTTCTCCCAGCACAACAAAGCTGTGTGTGGCCCATGGGTTCTGTGTTGAAGTGCTCTTGCCGCCACTTGGTAGGAAAAGTTGGGCTGCCCTGATCTAGTTCAGCTCCCTGGAAGCCAATGTCAGCTAGCTGGCCCGACTCGGAAACAAAAAGGAAAAAATACAACACTTCTTGGCTAGCTTTTACATCATGTGATTTCCCAACTAATCCTGAAAGGAAATGTGTCCCTTGAATATCTGGTGTAACAAAACACTTCTGCTTAACTAACCTCGTCCTGCTAGATTTCAATAAAAGGTTGCACATGAATGGTGCCAATCTACAGTCTGTTCTATGGGATGAACATGCTTATTTAAGGACTGAGCCGCACACTCTTGATTCAGTGCTTGATGCGTGAGCCGACGCTAGCCTGAGCCGAGGTGAAATTCAGCGGTATCCATGTTCTTCTGCCTGTGATATTTGATCTACGACGGCTCAACCTTGCATTCTGCAAACGCTGAAACTGCATTTGTAAACCAGCCCTTTTTGCAGGATGCTGAATGGGATGTTTGTGCATTATGTGTGCCATCTACGAAGCAAGCAACTCACCCCAGCCAGTAAACCAAAGAATTTCTCGTATGTTCTCTGCTGAGCGCAACAGTCAAGGATCATGTTGCACAATTCTTTCTGTTGGGAGGAGGAAAAACTCATAAAATCCTACGTATCAACTGAAATTAATTACAGTACTTATCTTCTATTTTTTTTTAACAATATTGCAGCAACACATACTGAAAATAGGAAGCCAGAGATTTATCTGCACACCCAATTAAAGTGTGAAATACATTAGAAACACAACACATTAGAAATAAATTATAGGTTAAATGACAATGCTGCGGGATTCAATAATAGCAATTCTACGTATATCAACCTACCCTGACTTGCTTTCGGAACAGGAAATCACTCTTAAAAGGGATTTTTAAAAATAATATAATCTTCCACTAGTAAAGGATTACGACCTAGCCTTTTAATTCTTTTTGCTACAATATGGCGTACTGAAACATTTCTCTTCAACACACTGTGTTGACAGAACACAAGCCGGTTTTACAGTTACTCTATATTAAACAAGACCAAAACCAAAAATATATTCAGAAAGAGACTGTTACTTTGTGGTGGTGGTGGAGAGGGCAAACTAATCTGTCTCTTAAAAGCTTTCTAATATATGTCATTAGTTTAATATATCAGGGCGCATATTAACTTTCTTACATTGTTTTATTGTAGTAATGTTGCAGTCAATCAGTTTACATACAATAAAACAGGGCAAAGTGCTGACGCTGTTACTGGTGGAGTCAGCATGACTTGCAGAACAAATTACTTTCTGCTCTCTTAACTGCAGTTACAACATTTTAATATCCCCTGTGGGTTAAAGTAATTAAATATTTTAACATTTTAATTAAATATTACAATGATTCCTAGCAGAATATCTCGAGTAGCCACGTGCAGGAAAACAAATTTGCCTATAAAGACACTCCTGCTTCCACCTTCCAAAAGGAGGAGAGGCTGGGACCAAAGTGCCCGTCTTCAAGATTAAACGTTAACATGTTTTTAATTATTGTATATGATGGAAGGCAGGGATTCAGTGGCAGCTTCAAAGCTGAATAGCCATTTAGGTTTTTAAACCTTTTTGTAAAAGCAGCACTAGAATTTTCACAGTTGAGTCCTCAACCCTTTATTACTGCGCTTTGCTTTCTTCAAGTTGGGCTTTGTTCAAACCATTTTTGTAAAATCAGTATTAGTAACTATACTTTTGAGTCCTCTATCCTTTATTACTGCACTTTGCTTTACCTAGGTCGAGCTAGGATTATAATACTTCAGAATTTTGGGGGGTTCTACCCTTTTTTTGAATTTTGGTCATTTAAAGTTTATGATTTTTCTATTTCCTTCTGAGGAAACTGAATAGTTCAGTGAAACAAGGTTTGCCGCCGGCATCCCATTAAGGCTTCGTTCAATTTTAGGTTTTTCTAATTTTTTCCTTAAGCTTTTTGATTTTTCTTATTATTTAGTTTATTTCCACAAGATGCCATTTCTAGTCGATTACTTCTCGTTTCAGGGATTTTCATGGTATTTCGTTTGTTTTGTGCAATTTCTCAGTTCTGTGACTGTCTTTTTCTATTGATTCAAAGCTGAATAGTAACATCTGTTTCACTCGCTCAACTCTTTCGGCAGATCCTGTATAGCAGGGGTCCTCAAACTTTTTCAGCAGGGGGCCGGTCCACTGTGCCTCAGACCTTGGGGGGGGGGGCTGGACTATATTTTTTGGGGGGGAAATGAACGATCGATGATGAACAGCGCAGGAAAGGGCTCCGGAGAGGGGCTGATTTAAATGGTGGCCGCTCGAGAGGGGTGCTCAGCCAACCGCAGCTCCTGTGTCTTGCAAGTGGCAGGGGCTATGGCGGCTGGCAGAGGGACGATGAGTGGCACGCGAAAGGGCTCTGGAGAAGGTCTGGCACCAACAAAGCCCAGCCCCCTTCTTCCTCTTGGCAGGGTGGGGAAAAGCCAGGAGGAGGGAGGGAGGAGGCGCCGCTGCCCGTGTGAAGGAGAGGGAGAGGGAAAGAACGTGTACGCTGGCGATCCACGTGGTGATTCCCAGACCATCCACGGGCCGAATCCAGAAGGCAACTGGGCCTGATCCGGCCTGCGGGCCTTATTTGCTGACCCATGCTGTATAGGCTTTGCAAAAACACTGGCAGGTCTGTGGGCAAACTGCTTGACAAAAAACAACAACAACGAAACCTGTGCCAAGATACACCAAATATGACACCCGGTATAAACAAAGCATGCACTAGCCTTGGGCTAGTCATGTGCATGGGTCAAAGAGTTATTCATCAAAGCCCTGTTCTCTGACCACCATAAGCCCAGACAAGGCCTCGCTCTGAGGCTTCTTAGATTTCAACAGGTATCGCCCAGGACAAATGAACAAAAGATCAATGAAAGCCAAGATTTTAAAGCAGTGTTTTCCACACGTGGGTCTCCAGATGTTTTTGGAATATAACTCCCATCATCCTTAGCTGGCAAGACCAGTGGTCAGGAATGGTAGGAACTGGGGAGTCCAAAAGCAGCTGGAGACCCAAGTTTGGGAAACACTGTTTTAGAGCATGATGAATTCAGAGCCAGTACAAATCCCGGTGCTTGCACGGTGCACAATATATTGGTTACTGACCAATGGCCAGGCTTCCCATGCAAGAAGGGCAGGGGCTGCTCTTGCCTTATGGTGAATATACTCAAAGCTGCCTATAAACAAATTACAGGGTTCTCTCCTGCTGTTTCTAATATTAATGACTAGTAATCTATTAATTAAAATGGATCTACTCTGAGTATAACTTAGGCGGCTATATCCTCCTCCCCCCCCAAAAAAAATTAAAATCACAGAGACCTTCCAAAGGTCAACTAGTTCAACTCCCTGCAATGCAGGAATCTCAACTAAAGCATCCATGACAGATGGCCATCCAACCTCTGGTTAAAGGCTGAGCACTGTGTTTATCCCAGCTGGACAACTAAAAAAGAACTATCAACAAAAGAACAGTCTTGCGGCACCTTAAAACATAACAAGTTACCGTATTTTTCGCCCCATAGGACGCACCTAGTTTTTTTTTGGGGGGGGGGAGAATAAAGAAAAAAATATTATTTCCCCCCCAGGTGCGGGGCTGGGGAAGCCCGAGCTTCCCCCGACCCCAGCCCCCAGAACAGGCTGCTATCCGCAAGCCGTGGGAGAGCTGCGTGAAGTCGCTTGCGGATAGCTCCCTGAAGCCTGGAGAGCGAGAGGGGTCGGTGCGCACCGACCCCCCCACGCTCTCCCGGCTTCAGCGAGAGCCTGCATTCGCCCCATAGGAAGCACACACATTTCCCCTTCATTTTTGGAGGGGAAAAAGTGCGTCCTATAGGGCGCAAAATACGGTAATTATAAGTAATATAAATGTCTTGATTTCTTTAGGTGCAACAAGATTCTTTCATCGTTGCCATTTTTTCTGCAGAAGATCAACACATCTCAAGGCAGCTGACGCAGAAACAGGTAATGAAGTTGCAAATTCCGAAGAGCGAGGGCAGAAGATGCAGAGGGTTTTACGACTGCAGACCTTCCGCCATTTCTAAATTCTCCCTCTCAAGTTTTAATCCAAAGTCACCACCACCTGCTTCTATTTACCCCAAAGGCTTTTTACCACCAGATCGCTTCTCTCTCTCTCTCTCTAGGCATCAAGGGTGTTCCTCAGATGAAAGCAGACAAAATTGTCAAAGGCAATCTTCTAACAGCATCTGGTTCCTTGGCAAAGTTTGCAGGCAACCGTGTTGGCTCCCTCTCATCTGCTTAGTTCTGCTGACCATTTTCTTACGGTATATATATATTTTTTACTTAAAAGCAACCTGATTCTCCATTCAAGACTAATTGGTGCAAAACAGAACCATGCTGCCACCCCCTTCCCTGTACTTGCTAATCAGACTTAACATTTTTAGCAATTCACTGAGAAGGAACTATTTTTAATCTATTGAATTTGTAGGGTCAGCAGTGACGAGACGCGGTTGCGTAAGAGTATTTTATGTAAAAAAGCAAAAGGTATAAAGGTAAAGCTTAGGCAGAATCATCATGGCACAATCTTCTATCACAGTATGCCTAGTCACGTATATTTGCAAAACAAAAGGCTGGAATGATTTAAGTTGGATTGATAAGACTTGACTCTAGATTAAAAGACCTGTTTTCTCTGTGCTGCCATGGCCTGGGGCTACCAGGATAGCTCTAATGCACAGATGGCCCTTTCAATTGTGGAAGAGTGATCACAGTCCCTCATCTTTAAAATAAACTCCATTTTTAATATTAATGTTGTATTGAATAGTTTACGTTCTATCAGTACAGCGAAACAAAAAAAAAGGAAGCTAAAATAAAACCAGAATTGGGGCAGAGTGCAACTGTTAGGGGGAGACATTCATAGGTTTTGTTCATTTACAAGGTTATGAAATAGAGTTCAGTGTAGGCTTGCCACGTAGTTTGGCAAGTATTTAATTTCTCTGTAGCTAGTTCACATAAGGCAAACTCCCATACATGACTCCTAGTCTCCTCCACCACTTTCCAAGATGTTTGAGGCGGTACTGAAGCCACTTCAAGGAAGTGCCTAACATGTCCCTGATCAACTAGAAGCATGTTGCTCTTTCAATGGCAGAAAGTTCTACTGCAAAAGAGAGTAATGGTTATGCCGTCAGAAATGAACTTAGAAGGCTGCTTACAAAAGTAAGTGGGAAGCGGGAAGACATGGGGATAGAAAAGGGTACAGATTTTGCAGTGTGCAGTCCTAAAATCCAGCCTGATTTGGACACAGCATAAAGTCTTGGTTTAATGCTATGTAAATGAACAGGCATGAGACTTGAACTTGTGTGGTCCCTCTCCCTCTCCCATCTAGCGAAGCCGTAAAGAGAATGGAAGCATCCCCGTTCTGTTTTCCACCAACAGCGGTTTATCGCTGCAGCCCAAATTGGCAAACTGCGGATAATTTAAAGTAACAATTTACTAACAAGTCATGATGATAAGAAACGGCATGCTCCTGCTTTGTTCTAATAGATCATGGTTTATTATACTTCAGGTGTGCAACAATGTTGTTGTTGTTTAGTTGTGTCCGACTCTTTGTGACCCCATGGACCAGAGCACGCCAGGCACTCCTGTCTTCCACTGCCTCCCACAGTTTGGTCAAACTCATGTTTGTAGCTTCGAGAACACTGTCCAACCATCTCGTCCTCTGTTGTCCCCTTCTCCTTGTGCCCTCAATCCTTCCCAGCATCAGGGTCTTTTCCAGGTTGTCTTCTCTTCTCATGAGGTGGCCAAAGTACTGGAGCCTCAGCTTCAGGATCTGTCCTTCCAGTGAGCACTCGGGGCTGATTTCCTTCAGAATGGATAGGTTTGATCTTCTTGCAGTCCATGGGGCTCTCAAGAGTCTCCTCCAGCACCATAATTCAAAAGCATCAATTCTTCGGCGATCAGCCTTCTTTATGGTCCAGCTTTCACTTCCATACATCACTACTGGGGAAACCATAGCTTTAACTATACGGACCTTTGTTCGCAAGGTGATGTCTCTGCTTCTTAAACAATAAACTGCAGTTAATAAGGAAAATGGAAACTAGGTGCTTCCAGTGCCTTCCTCAAGGCTGGTACCAGATGATAGGCGAGTTTTTACCACCAGATCGCTTCTCTCTCTCTCTAGGCATCAAGGGTGTTCCTCAGATGAAAGCTACCAGATGATAGGTACCAGATGATAGGCGAGAAAGTATGCACATGTTCCAGAGGGGGAACTTTCACAACTCTGGTTTTCTTCCCTTTCTGTCTTTCCAGGCAAGCAAAGCCTCCATAGGACCATTCAAACAACACACACAATACAACTTTCTCAGACTATTTTCTTTTGCACTCAGAACTGTGTCTCTCATTCACTGACAAAACAGCATTTCAGTAAAGCAAACATTTTTAAACTTATTTATTCCAATCTGAGGGGATGTTAGGAGTATGAAGGAAAACCAACAATGTTAGCGACCAAAATTTGCTTTACATTTGTACCTTGGTTCTCAAATGGAATTCGTTCTGGAAGTCCGTTCGGCTTTCGAAAACCAAGGCACAGCTTCTGATTGGCTGCAGGAGCCATGGAAGCCGCGTCAGACGTTCAGCTTCAAAAAACAGTTTGCAAACCGGAACAGTCACTTTTGGGTTTGCGGCATTCGGGAGCCAAAACATTCGAGAACTAAGCTGTTCGAAAACCAAGGTACGACTGTACTATAAATACTAGAATCATCACCATCATCCTCTGGAAGAAACGGCTTTATAGTGGTACCTCGGGTTACATACGCTTCAGGTTACATACGCTTCAGGTTACAGACTCCGCTTACCCAGAAATATTACCTTGGGTTAAGAACTTTGCTTCAGGATGAGAACAGAAATCGCGCGGTGGCAGCGCGGCAGGCCCCATTAGCTAAAGTGGTGCTTCAGGTTAAGAACAGTTTCAGAGGGTTAAGAACGGCCCTCCGGAATGAATTAAGTACGTAACCAGAGGTACCACTGTAATTGAATTTTAGCTGATCTGCTATGCATTATCCCGTATACTATATGATTAGTTACGTCAATATCTGAATGAGGGGGGTGGGGAAAGATGCTTATTCCAGAAATGGGAAAGAAAAGAAAAAAGGAATTAGGAAGACTTACTGTCTGGCTTTCAGGAAAATCCATCTTCAGCAATTTATGAGCACATTCTTCAAAGTCTAAACTGTAAAAGGGAGGGGGGAATTTGTCTCCAGAACCACAGCAGCTTAAAACATTTCTATGCTGACAACAGTATTTTCTGCATTAGAAAGCCTAAATATTGTGTGCCTGAAACAGACTTTGTTGAAATACCCAAGCAATACTGGGTTCAGCTAGTCTTCCAGGCTGAGAATTAAATCGGCTGTCCTTCAGTGTCCTTTTGGGGTGTGAGAATCCAAAATCTCCCTCCATTTCACTCATCAGACATAATCCCAACAATCATCATTGCTCCATGGATGTTAGATCTAATGGATGCTAACATGTACAGTTGCAAGAAGTTCGTTAAAAAGAAAACTGTATTGATCAGTACTGTTACAGATGGCAACTGAAAGTCCACCACAGCATAAAAAAATTAAAATCTGTTATTTTATTTAAAAAAGTATAAAGAATGCAGCAGACTTTTAATCTTTTTCAGTGTTGAAAAAAATGTACTTTAGCCATTTCACATTTTTATATGAACTATGTCCAAAATCAATAATTTTCAGACAGTTTAAAAACAAGGTGACTCCCATTCGTGAGTCACAGTTGCTATAACATCATGTTAAACAGAAAGCAGAGAGTCTAGCAATTAAACAAATGAGAACATGATGTCCTTCTTTGAAAAAGCTTAAAATGTTGTTTCAGAATGTCCTCCCACAGAAAGTATTAATATTTGATGAAAGGGGGACACTATAAACAACCTGTTAATTAACAATGTTTCCTTACACTAAGCAAACCTCTTCAGTGTTCCTTCTCTCCCTCTTACACACACACACACACAGACAGACAGACAGAAAGACAGACATAACACTAAATCATCGTTTAGTACGAGGTGGAGGAGCCTGAAAGGGCTTGAGCAAAGCACCCCATTTATATTTTTCTCTCCACACCTCCACCCCCAAATCCCATGGGACTCAAAAGAGAACTTTGCCAGAGTTTGTTTCATTTTTAAAGGAATCCTGAGCATTAAGTTCAAACTAGGGAGGCCTGGTTCGAAACAAACTCTGGCTACTTTAAAAAGCCAGCTTCATAACCCAAGGTTTGAAATTGGATAATGACTAGTGCTAGTTCTAAAGCAGGGTTTGAATGCAAGCCAAGACACACTTCTTTAAAAAGGGAAACTAAACTCTGACCAGGTTCTCTTCTCAGCTGGGTGGGAGAAGGAGATGCTTCAAACAGGCTTGTTTGGGCTCATCAGCATAGCGCTAAACCATGGTTCTGCTTTATGTGTGAACAAAGCCATGCCATTTAAACCAGACCATCTCAGTTTTCACCTAGAGATTCATTATAGCAGCATATATAGCAATGAGAAATACGTTATTCTAAAGATTTAGCTCTAAGAATTCTGCCTCACATGAGCATCTATAACAGGGTTCTAGAGTCCTCCCTCCTCCTTCCCAAAGCCCAGTTAGCTCTTTCCCAGCCTTGGGAAGGAGGTGGGAGAGAACTAGAACTCTGCCAGAGCCTCATGTCTCCTTCACAAATCCCAGTGCCTCACTTACAGGGCTTTGGGAAGGCTGGGAGGGGGCCTGCCAAATTTTGGCCTCGCCCAATTCCCGGACGCGACAAAGCCGCATGCAGCCTATGGGTTTCATTTTGAAGGACTCTTGCGGCCCACTTGGTATGAAAAGTTGGGCCGCTCTGATCTAAAACTTGCTAGCTTCCAAAAAGTATCTGCGATCACAGTGCAAGGGAGTCACATTTCAAACGAAAATTATGTTTCATTTTACCTTGACTGAATTGCTAGGTAAATGGTTCGTCGGAAGGAGACCAAGTTGATTTCCGTTTTATCATGGATAGTCACTTTTTGCCCTTGAAGATTCAGAGCAGGGGAGAGAGAGAGAGACAGACAGACAGACAGACAGGTTTCATGGTTAAAAAAAATCTGGAATGGTTGATTACTTCACAGACTGCTAATATACCACTGAATATACAAATGCAAATAAACTATTTGTGAAGGAATAAACGGCAGTATTTATTTAATTTCAAGTTAAAAGAAGAAAGCATTGAAATTCCAGCACAATAGGCAACCTGACTTAATGTCCCCTCACAGCCACGGCTGGGCAATGTACTGATAAGCCATCCAAAATTGGTTTGAAGTCCACATTGTTATAACTGTTTCATAATATTTGACAGAGCAATATGTCACGAATCACAATGTGTGTGCGTGCTATGTAAAAAAATTGCAAGATGGGGGAAACTGTGAAGCCGGTCATCGCTTCTCTCATGATTCCTTCTGCCCCTGTCGCTCTGTACCGTAAAGTAACAGTTATCAGTTTTAGACCCCCTTAAGCAGTAGCAGTTGCCAGAACATTATCCCGTTCGCTTCTACGTACTTACATCCTTATTTCAGACATCATGATATGTCATCAGTATATTACCATGTTTAGCTGATGATGTTGAAAACCAGGTATCACCCAGCCCTGCTCACAGCACAACAAAGGCATATCAAACCTATCAGTGTCCTCGTGCATGGGAAGCAACCTAATACTGCTTAATGAGCCTTGCCTCATTAATTAAGAAAAGGAGCTGTGATTTAGCAATGTAAATCTGGTTTCATTTTGAGATTAATGGTTAAAACCCTTGACAGTTTGGGAGGACGGGTGGTGGGGGGAGAGGGAGGGAGAGAGGGAGAGAGGGAGAGAATTCTCCTGTACTGGTAATAATTCCATGGTTTAGGCCTACAAACATATCTGGCTGGTCATGCAGGAACCAAGACCTAAACTAGCTGCTCTGAAATGAATTAATGCCCTACTGTTTATGGGGGTGGATTTCAGATTTTCCATACGAGCAATGCAAGTAATGGCAGGGTGCTGTAATTGCCATCTTTTCATTTGAAAGCAAAAGTTTATTTTCCTTTCCCAACAGTCCTACTGAAGAGACAGCGCACTCAGGAAGAGTCTGAAAATACTAAAGACCTGTCTCAAAGTTTGTTTGTAAACTCAATCCAGCCTCTCTCTGTTTGCAACAACTTCAGTTTATCAGCTTGTTGGCTAACATGCTATATGCTGCTTCTCACATTTCCAGAGTAACAAAGACTTAGAATATGTTTACAAAGTGCTTAAGGAAACCAGGAAAAGACTCAGAGGAATCCCATGGAGGCATGAAATACATCCACGCTTGGGAGGAAAGGAAAAAGACAAAGACACACAAACACGAAAATAAAAACACCTTGTAGAAATAGTGTTAAAAATTATACATAGAATTAACCTGCACCGGGAAACGGGAGGAGGGACAGGAAACCCTGCTACAATTCAAGACAAAAAACCACAAAATGTGTATAATTTCATTATGACAACACAGACAAATGGTAAAAAACAAAAAACCCAACCACTGATATTTGAAGGAAGTCAAAAGCTGGAACTAAAACCCACACAAGTAGCTTTGAATACCCAGGGAAGCATTGGGTTTGGGCTTATTCAAACACCAGTGCCTCACATCAAACAGCAAACCACTTTTGAAGATGAGAGGACTTTCAAAATGCAGATTGTGACATGGAACAGGAATCTGTTGGCTAAGTTAAAAAAAATACCTCCCACTGGACTTTCTAGGTCCAAATTTAAGCAAACAACAACTGGACTGAAAGATTTCACGAAGATAAAATATTGGAAATGTCCTGATTTAATAATAATAGTAATAATAATTTTATTATTTATATCCCACTCGTCCGTCTGGGTTGCCATCTAGAAGGGTAAGGGCAACTAAATAATGCACTATGAATAAAGGTAAAGGGACTCCTGACCATTAGGTCCTGTCGTGACCGACTCTGGGGTTGCGGCGCTCATCTCGCTTTATTGGCCGAGGGAGCTTCCGGGTCATGTGGACAGCATGACTAAGCCGCTTCTGGCGAACCAAAGCAGCACACGGAAACACCATTTACCTTCCTGCTGGAGCGGTACCTATTTATCCACTTGTACTTTGACATGCTTTCGAACTGCTAGGTTGGCAGGAGCAGGGACCGAGCAATGGGAGCTCGCCCCGTTGCGGGGATTCGAACCGCCGACCTTCTGATCGGCAAGTCCTAGGCTCTGTGGTTTAACCCACAGCGCCACCCACGTCCATACTATGAATACAGTCCTCTAAATTCAGCCTTGCTATTGTTACCAACCCAAAATGCAAATAGTGTCTGGCAGAGGCTATGGGACATGCACTATTTGTATAATGGCTAATGAAGCTGCAATGGACTAAATAGAAGCAACATTTTAATATTAACTAAAATCAGTTTACTGTTTTGTCACACTAACTTCCACAGTAGCGAGGAGTGCATAAAACTGTTTCTTTAAATTGCAGCTTTACCTTCTTCGTCCTCCTCCTCCTTATCATCATCCTCTTCCTCCTCCTCTTCACTGCTTGCAGCATCCTGACCACTTTCTGAGTCACTGTCACCTTCGTCAAGAATTTCTACAAAAGAGAAAAAACACACGGTTAAGTGAACACCAATACCAGGCTGGGTTGGTTAGAGGAGCTAGTCCATATCAGAAACTCGTGTATATGGAAGAAGATGTTTCAACATCGAAACAAGAAACACTGCAGTCTTGCTCAGTTGCCTGAGACTAAGTCCCACTGAACTCAGTGGGGCCTACAACTGAGCAGACATGCACAGGATTGCATAGCAGGTTTCCCAGAAAACCACAGGAACTAGAACTTTAGATACAAAAGACTGGAGTGCTAGGACATGATAATAAGGGTTTGCTGAGGGGTGTGGGAAGCAGCAACTCCCCATTTGTGGGTGACTGCCCATGTAGGAACCCAGAGGCAGGGAAGAGAACTGCAAAGTCCTTGTGGCTTGTGAGGACATCCTCTCTGGGCTCCAGGGAGGGTCTCCTCGTGAGCCATAGGCTTTGTTGAGGTGCTCAGCCTCCCTGCCTAACAGCTGACAGCTCTCCATCCCTGCATTAGAACAGCTGTGCAAACTCAAATTAGCTAGGCGTACATACCTTTCTTCAGAGTTTGGTACTTCTCTTCGTTCTCCATAAAATCTGGATCCATCTTGAACACATCTTCACAGAAACAGAAAAACAAGTTACCAAAATTATAGCAGGGCCATTTTTTAAAAAACAAAACAAAACGAAGAATTCAGACTGAAAAGTTCATCCCAACATTCCTTACTCATACTTACTAAGAACATCTTCTGGATTATAGTCATCTTCCAAAGGCAGCATATGGGTAAACTGATCCTCTTCTTCCACAAGATCCAGTCCATCTGGAATTATCGGGTGATCTTTGAACCCGTCTTTACGCACAGCAAACATGACTTCAATCATGTACTGAACTCGTTTGTCGGTTTCAGATTCATGCAGGACGTGACGAAGGCGGTCAAAGATGGCTGTGGTTGGGGGGAGGAAAAAAAACGGAGGTAAATCTAATTCCTACAAAACTAATGGTCAGGAAGGAAATAAAGCAGCAATAAATACATACCGTTAACACCCCTAGGAGACACTTCAGTCAATTTGAGGCCGCATTCCTTTAGGAAGCCAATTGCTACTTCAATGCTGTCATCTGTCGGTCTCTCCAAAAGCAATGTGAGCATTTCCAAGCATAAAACCTCGTGAGCCTTAGCAGGAAGAAGATAACAACACAAATAACTTTTTTGTTTTGACAAAATAAATTCCTTGATTGCATGTATCTGACACATGTAGTCAACAAGAAGAAGAAGAAGAAGAAGAAGAGTTTGGATTTGATATCCCGCCTTTCACTCCCTTTAAAGGAGTCTCAAAGCGGCTAACATTCTCCTTTCCCTTCCTCCCCCACAACAAACACTCTGTGGGGTGAGTGGGGCTGAGAGACTTCAAAGAAGCGTGACTAGCCCGAGGTCACCCAGCAGCTGCATGTGGAGGAGCGGAGACGCGAACCCGGTTCCCCAGATTACGAGTCCACTGCTCTTAACCACTACACCACAAGCATAGCACCATTTCAGAGAAAGGCACTACAAGTTCAGCGTCCCAAAAGGAGCTTTGGATGTGCTTCTTAGAGGGCAGCCCTCCAGCCAACTTTGCCACTCATGTGAGTTACAAGAGCAGTTTAGGCTAAAGAACTTACTGCTCAAAGTCAATCCCCACTTGGTATATGGGTGTGCCTGAAATAGCTCTCTATGTAAGCCTTGGCCAACCTGATGCCCTATTATTATAACTTATTGGTCACTTTTTTTTACAAAAGTAACTCAAAACGATGTACAACAATAATTAAATAACATGTACATTAGAAACAACATAAAACCAAACAGAGAAAAACCCAAAATTTCTAGGTGTTGTTGGGAATATGACCGTCATCATTCACCAACATGATGGTGGATCAACCACTCAGAAGCCATCTTAGCAATTGGGTGGCATATAAATTAACAAATAACATAATATAGGCATCCCCCCATGTTTATGTGGGGGTTACGTTCTGAGGCACGTGCGCGTTGGTGAAATAACAAACTATTGAAAAGCCAGTTTAAAAGCCTGCAAACACCAGGTTCCGCCCCTTTAATGATATTTCAGTGACATCATTATGTTGTTTCCGGGTCACTTCCGGGTTTGGTGCAATACATAGTAGCTCACATATTGAACATGCATAAGCGGCTTGTAACCCCTGACCACTAGTCATGCTGGCCACGGCTGATGTGAGCTGGGAAAGTCTGCCCTAGAGCAAAGGTTTGCAAGTAATATTTAGCAAGAGCCATAGTACAATGAGTTGGGGGTTGTTAATTTTTTATATTTTGCTTTTGTAGTTCTATTTTCTATTTAAAGTGCTTTCTTATTTATTTACTGAAAGCTGCCCAGATAGCATCACGCTATGGGGGAGGAATGCAAATGCCATAAACATATTTGATGACAAAATCCCATCACAAACCCTTGCAACGTTAAAAGCCAAAATCCCTGCAAATATATTATCAGTAGTACACAACATCTTACCACATTCTGATTCATAAGATGTGCCACAAACTTGGAAGCTGTCAGGCAAAGTTGCTGCAAAACAAAATGCAAAGCTACGTATTTCTGCAAGTGATAAGTCCATTTCATAGGTATTACTGCAAGTGATATGTCTATTAGCATGGCTTTGAATCCCAAACTACCCCAGAGGTTCTATGTGACTTGCACAAATCATTTAAAGGGCTTTCTCTTGCTGGCATTATTCTTATTACTATTATTTTGGGCAGGTGAGAAAGGAGATGTGCCAGCAGCCCCTCTTCTTCCTCAGGAAGGCTACAACTTTCGCCAGAAACATGCATCTGATGACTATTTGTCTTCCTCCAAACATAGGATTACTTTGCAATGAACAGGTGACGAAGATTAAATGGAAGTAGGTCGTTTCAGGATATTTGCCATGCAGTGAGCTCAGACAACAAGCTTTGCGGAAGCTGCAAATAATGTATCTTGCTGCAGATGAGAGCTCAGGAAACTTTTAGATGATCTGGCACTATTGGATTCTCATTACTTAGGAGATCAAGTCCAATATCATTTTTTGATGTAGAAATGATGCTACACAGAGCACTTCCCTAGTCACACAATAACGTTGTTAAGGTGGAATCATTATCAGGATGAAGTCAACTGCAGTCTCATTTTGTAGGGGTGTTTTCACAAACCATTTTTACTAGATGGGCATATAAGGGAAAGCCATGGTTAAAATATTGTTTTTAGCTGTCATTTACTCCCTCGAAATGTTTTCTAGAACAACTATGTAAGATAATCTACAGCAGGAGGAAGTTACAAACGCTGTATATTGCAGATACGTACAATTCAAATGCAAACATGTTGTAGACAGAAAATACTTATTATAAGAGATGTGGAAACAGTTTGAAAGAGGGATTATGGCTTCTGATACCAATAGCCACCCCACTGTTACCTCACGGAATTACAGAACTTTCTGTATAACTTCTTCTGGAAAATGCTGATTGGAGGGGCTGTTTCGAAGCCCATCGTAATAAGAACACTGTTCTGCTTACTATTTTTCCATTTTAAATTCTTTCTTTTTCAAACCAACAAGTTCCAATAAATACTCAGCACCTTAGGGTTCAACAGCTTCCTACTCCATCTCTACACTGAACGTATTTGGACTTACTCTGAATGTTAAATTTAAGGAATTTATAATTTAAAATGTAATAAATATAGAAAAGAGGGGGGAAATTGTGCTAAGTTATATCGAATGGGTTGAATGCAGGAAAGAACTCTGTTCATAGTTACTCTCCCCATAACAGACCCTGGCTCTCTCACTAAACACCCCCCAAGAGTCTATTTTGTGCAAGTGTTACTGCCTTTCTGTTAGCACAAGAAACCTTTCGATCCAAGCCATTAAATATTATGTTCTTAAAGCAGTAAAGTTAACTTAGAATTAATAAGAAAATAAGTACTACTTATATCACATTTCCCCAATTTTTTCCTTTTTATTGTCTCCCCCACTCCCAATACCCACTTTCTCCCCATGGCCTCAAAATTTTCAGACATTTTATGACTTTCAGCTCTCCTGATACCCACATAATTTGTACTCAAATCCTAAATACACTAACGCAGAAATAAATCTCAGTGAACACAATGACACTTCCCCAAAACAGTATACAGGCTATAAGTAAGAGAGAAGCACAATAAATCTTACCCTATCACCTGCGTGGCAATAATACATACCTTATCATTTCTTCTGTATCCTTTGCGAAAATTTAAAATGAGCCTCTTGAGAATCAGTTCTCCGATATTTGGAAACTTTGAATTGATGATTGCTACAACCGCTGCATAAACATGAGTGAAGATAGGTGAAGCACTCTGGGCTTGCAAAATAGATCTTGAGAGCAATCCCCTATGAATGAAAATACAGACGTGCTGAAGCAGCTTTACCAAAAATTTAAAAACAAAAACTATGTGATTTGTACAGTAGCATTTATCCCAGCAGCTTGAGGGATGGCCGGTGACTTTTCTAGATTGCATTATTCTGGAACTCAATTCCACCAACATGGAACCGCCATCCACAGCTAGATCATGCTCACTTATACATACAAACATAATTTTATTTGCTTGCCACCTTTCCACAGTTCAAACCACGCTCACGGCAGCTTGCAACATGAAAAGAAAAATACATAACAACATAATGAAAGGGGTTATAAATAAAGACTAAAACATAAAAAAATACACAAACAGAACTATTTCAATATAAATCACAACAAGATCTAAAATAAAGATACAAAAACACAACAACAACAACAACAACAAAAACAACCCTGCCCCCAAGACAACACCTTCAAACAACACTCCAACCTGAGAGTCTGTTTAGCAGCCACAGCTTTTGTAGCTGGAGTCAGTCTGTGCCCCCCCCCCCAGGCTAGGTGGAAAAAGGCCTACAAGGCAGGGAGCAGGTCTCCCAGCCCATATGCTTTTGGCTTTCCATCTTCTTTCCTGCTCCACTATCTCCCAATGCATGTCTGTATTAAAATTAGCCTTTCAAAAACTCAGGTGTTATTCTGTGAATAGGCCAGATTAATCTACAATCATGTTTCAAGAAGCAACAGTTGATGAAAAAAATCACTGCTAAAAAACAAAACAAAAAAAACCCCCTCTCATACACAAATCCTAATCAGTGACAAGTAAACATTATTGGAAATATTCCCAAATCACTTGAGAACTACACTCTCATTATTCAAGTGTGCATTAATGTTTCCATTTAACAGATTAAGTTTCGTCTCACAATCTACTGCTTTTTTTTCAAAGAATACAGACCTAGGAAAAACCAGCTGCAACACTATTATTGTAAAAACATCACCATTGCTCTACTGGAGAAAATTGCTATAAAATATTTTGTTAAAAAATATAGGCAAGAAAGAGCCCAAATTATTACCCGTGGGCCTTTAAGGAAACAATAACATAATCCTGCTGTAAGGATCCATTAGAAAAATGGCACAGCTACAGCACACACACAAAATGTCTTCTCAAAGAAACATGATATCCGAAAACCAGTGATGTGTGAAATGTTAAAGATGCAAGAGTCAATTAATTACAGCAAATATAATTTGTTCCCCAATTAAAGCACATAGTTATTTTCATGACGGTAGATATTTACCAAGCCACTGACATCCTGCAGAAAAATGTTTGCTGACAATCTATGTTTTAATCACCGTACTTAGGGAATCTGTCAGGAGAGGATCTTCCTGGATTAGGAGTTCATTTGATGCCACTGTTTACTCCTCTACAGAAGGAGTAACTGCGACTGAACAGTCACTTCCCATGCCTCTAATCATGACTTAAGAAGAGAGTGAGAGCCCAAATGGCCAAATGCTCCACCAAGGGAGCAAACATTATATGGAACATGGGTCTTATTTCCATTTGATTGCCATTTTCTGGAAAAATCAGTGGAAGGGCTCTTGAAAACCAGAGGCAGCCGATTTAATCACAAGTCCTACTTTTCAGAAGACTGAACTCTGCAAAGTATTGGTTTGTATTTCACTCTTCCTCCAAGGAACCCAGGGCAACAAACAGGTCAGGCTGAGAGTGACTAGACCAAGGTTACCCAAGGAGTTTCATGGCTGAGCAGAGAATTATCTTTGGTCACTGGTCAACACTCAAGCCACTACACTAGATTTATAAAATTTATAGTTCACACCAACTGGTTCCTCAATCTATAGTGATCCAGCAGCCAGGAGCAGTCAGCAGGCCAGCGCTGCTGGCTTATATCGAAGAAAAACCCAAGCACAGTTTAACGCAGTAAACTTTGCAATGCATGGCACACTTAAATGGTAATGCTTTGCATGCAGAAAGCCCCAGTTCATTCTTGACATCTTCACTTTTCTTTCTTTTTGTAAAATATAATGTAACTAAAACATTAATGGTTCCTGCCCTAGGCGCTCCACTGACCACAAACTATGCTCATTATCATGGATCAGAAAACTCCCTCAACCTCTCTCACTACCAAGGAAATATAATGAATAGAGAGAGAACCTACCTAAGTGAAGCTGAGATTAAAAACCCTACATATACACCAAGCATTATCACCCCACCCTTCTCTCTCTCCCCGCAACTTTATTCTGTATACAGTGGTACCTTGGGTTACATACGCTTCAGGTTACACACTCCGCTAACCCAGGAATAATGTAACCTGAAGCATATGTAACCCGAGGTACCACTGTACTTAACCTGAGGTACCACTGTACAACATTAACATCTCACTTCAAATGTAAAAGAAAGATTCTACAACCTGAAAAAGAGACAAGGCATGCACTTTTGTAAACCAAGAAAATATTTAATAACTTAGTTTTCTTTAAAAAAAATAACTATAACTAACAAGAGGAAAACCTGGTTTCAACCATACTTCTAATTTTTCATGAGTGAAAAAGCCTCTAAAAACAAATATGATCAAAACCTTCTAAGTTCAAAAGGACTTACTGCCAGGTAAGTCTGCATAGGATTATACTTTGATCATTCTGCAAACCCTCAACAAGTCATTCATATTTAAAATGAAAATCCTAACATGACTCAAACAGCAGCTGACCAAGAGAATATCAGACTACTTTTAACAAGTGACTTGAGACTTAATCAATAACTCTCGGATGAGCAAAAGACTGCATATCAAGAACTTGATGCTTACCTCCCTCTGACAATATTTTCCTGAAGAAGCTCATGGATAATATTCTCAATATTTGAAACGTTCACCTTGTTGACGAGACCATTGATGGATTTCTTCAGCGCTTCCCAACTCATCCTTTGATATGCTAAACTGTTTTCAAAACAAATCATAGATAAAAATCAAGAGAACAAGAAAGGAACGTATTTGCTTATTCAGCTAGAATACCAAATATGCAATAGCACTTTTCAGTTAGCGTATTGCAAGAATGGTGTGCAAAAATAAATATCCACCTGCCTCCTTTCACTTCAATTTTACCAGGGTAAATGATTTTCAGAATAGTTACACCACCGAATAGTGATCTGTCTTTTGCAATAATCAGAATAAGAAAACCATGACAAGTGACAACCAGGAAGGGCAATTTTTCCCATTTACATCTCACCACAGTGTGCCTCACACATATGGTTGGCATGTCCAGAACAAATCTGGACTCCCAGCAGCTAGGATAGCTCAATCGGTAGAGAATGAGACTCTTAACCTCAGGATTGTGGGTTCGAGCCTCACAAGGGGCAAAAGATTCCTGAGATCCAGGGGGTTGGTCCCTTCAAACTCAACTTTCTATGGTTCTATGAACTCTGTTTAAACCTTTGGTTTTAGTCTCATATGACGAACGCCAGAATTGTACAGAACCTAAAGCATTTGTCATTTATTTCGTAACATTTCCACTCCGCTCGATTGTAATAAAACCTCAAAGCCATTTACAAAAATAATAAAACAATAACACATCAGCAAAAAATAATTTCCGACAAACATTTAAAACATTCAATTTGTATTGTTATAATTTGGATTAATTGGTTTGATGTGTTTAATTCAGAAACTTAATAAAAATTATTTTAAAAACAACAACATTCAATTTGTATCAGCAATATGCTAAAACAAGATTAAAATACGTAACAGCTTCTATATGTCTGGATAGGCTTGACTAAACAGAAATATTTTAGCAGGTACCAAAAAGTGAAGTCAAAAGTTCCAAAGAACGACCAATTTTGAGATACACAGAGGATAACTGTGACTTTAAAGATGAATGGGAACCCTTTACAAAGTATTTGAAGATGCAACAAAGTGAACTGGACTCCTTGGCTGGCTTTGAATAAACATTCACAAACTTTCTATTGATAATAATCAGCTAAATAGTTTGAGAATCTATACAACTTTGTAACATGCAGAAAACAGCATTCTCAGAGAAACCAAAGACTGGAACTGAGGGAAGCCGGGGGTGGGAGGGTTTTGTGTGAGAGGGTGGGGGGAGGGAGGAAAAATGGGGGGGGGGAAATAGGGATGATAGGTTTTTGGATAATATGTTTTGTTTTAATTTTACATATTTTTTTTAAAAAGGAGATACACAGGTTTGTTTTTGGGTTATCTGAAACTCCCAAGGTGACTTCAAAATAAAGTTAAACTGTCTTAACACGTCACACTTCAGAGGCCAAAAAGATCCCTCTCGACACACAACAAACGTCGCTGCCGCCACTCAGGCTAACTTGCAGCTGGGTTACCACCCTGCTCTCTCTGCACCTTCTTGAGGGCTGGATCCAAAGTTAGTCAGAAGGTAAAGGTAAAGCCCAGTCAAAGGCAACTATGGGGTGCGGCACTCATCTTGCTTTCAGGCTGAGGGAGCCAGCGTTTGTCCACAGTCATGTGCTAGCCATGACTTAACCGCTTCTGGCGCAACAAAACACCGTGACAGAAACCAGAGCACACAGAAATGCCATTTACCTCCCCACCGCAGTGGTACCTATTTATCTATTTGTACTGGCACACTTTCAAACTGCTAGGTTGGCAGGAGCTGGGACAGAGCAATGGGAGCTCACCCCGTCACAGGGATTCGAACCAGACCTTCTAATCGACAAGCCCAAGAGACTCAGAGGTTTAGACCACAGCACCACCAGTGTCAGAGTAGACTCACTGAAGTGAATGGGTCATTACTCATTTCAATGGGTCCGCTCAGCAAGTCTGCAGCCAACTTTGCCATCTCAGTTCTGTCTCTTCCCTCTAAGATGGCAGCTCCTGGTTAGCCAATTTCTACAAGTTTTTTGGGCAGGGCCAGTTAAAAATTCCCCAGCCGACAGCTGAGCAGTATCTTTATTAGGACCAACCAGAATGTCACAAAATTGTGGCAAACTTTTTAATTCCGAACTTTTCAGGGGGCATGATGTTGCACAAAAGGGGTATGTGCGTATATGTGTGTCAGAGAGACAAGAAGGAAGTACTAAATCTTATACTGTTTTGTTTTTCTCCCCACCTTAAAATAATATCTTGCCCAATACTATTCATCAGTTAAGCACAAATGTGAAATGTGTGTGTTTGACCCACCTATTTTTATCAGTGATTTGTGCTTGCATCATCCGAAGCTTGGCTGGAGGAATGTAGGCACCCCCAGTGCGGGTGAGAATTGGATCCAAATCCTCTTTCTTCTTCTTTGGAGGGGGTTCCTCATGAGAAAGAGAGCTCTGTGGTGTTGCTCTCTCTGCCGCATTTCTTCTGTCGGGCGAAGGGGATCTGCGGTACTTTCTCCAGTCAGACTCCCTCTCTCTTTCATGCCTCTCTCTCCCACTAATAGACAGAAAATTCCAAAGATTTATGAAGCACAGAAGCAGCTGACAATCACATACATTAGTATGTAACATGCTGTAGCTTTGATTTTGCTTAAAAATCACGTTAGAGAACAGAAGCAACCAACTGCAACCTGAACATTTTAGTGTTTGTTTTTAGCAGCTCCAGACATTCACCTTGACTCGGTGTATTTGTCTCCATAACGTCCCCTTTCGGAATGTTTTTGGTCAGATCTCCTGTAATCTGAATGACTTCTGCCTTGCGGTGACTGAGACCTTTGACGCTCCACGTGCCTATGCAGACATTGAGAGCCAAAGTTAGCAGCTATTTATAAACAAAGTCTCCCCCCTACACACAAACACACATTGTTGTATCTGTGGACACCACACAGCTTTTGAAGCTAGGGGCTGGAGCCAGCACAAGGACTCCTGCTAGTGCAAAGGGTTTCCCAGCCACTCTTCTCCCCTGCACGCCACCCCCAAACTGATTCAAACTTATGTTCTCTCCAAAAATTATTTTCCTGTTGCGATACTGATCTTTGTTTTCATTGGTTAAAACAGAGGACACGTGATACTTATTCCCCAAAAGTCTGAAACCCAAATACTGCTATTGTTTTAATTAGGTTCAGAGCTTTTATAATAATAGGAAAATACTTCTCCCCGCACCCATGTTGCTGTTTCTATCAAATGTTAACTACATAACTAATCATAAAAAAAAAGTTTATACCTGTCTTCTGGAGAGGAACTTCTCCGGCGAAGACTGTAATCTTCCTTCCTTTCGTAACTAGAACCGGACTTTAAATACAAAATAAATTAGATATTTCAAGGATGAGAAGTGCCAGCCAGAATGCTAAGAACAGTATTTCATTTATTTCTAACAGTATTTTCAAACCCTCTTCTCTTAAAGATGCTTGGAGAAACAAAACCATTTCATTCATTAGATGAAATATCAAATTATAGGTGCACAACTTATGTTGATGGGAGAGCATTCCAAAGTACTGGTCCCATTAAAGTAAAAGCCTTAGCTTACATAGAAACTAAATGAATGTGTATGCAACTTCCAGTCACTTAACAAAACTTTTCCAACTGCAGCTCCTTGCACACCCCAATAAAGGTGCTCCAGGCAACTGATGAATGCTCTGAAGAGGGATTTGCTGCCAGACAAAGGGTTTCAGTTTGAAAATTAAAAAAGGCAACTCCTTCCATTATAAGCCAAAGCCCTTTGCACTCAGATAGCGGGCTGCTTGGATTCTAGCCACTGTATTTTCTTAAAAAATGGTGCAATGCAGGACACAGCAACTCCAGCTGTGCTGCCACCAGCATTTTATGCAAGCTGTTTTTGTATATCACCAAAGGACAGCATCCAACCAAGTAGTTTCTCAGAACAGATTTAGGGGACACACAGGGAGTAGAGAGGGAAGAGAGATTCTGTTGCACAGTCAGAAGTCCTTGAAGGAACAGAACTACTTCACTGAGTACTGCCCTATTCCCCTTCACACCCAGGTATTTGTCAGTATTTGATATCAACTCAATTCTCACAATTCACTAAGTCCCAAAAAGAAAAGGTGGCATCCAGTTGAGAAAACGAGTCCCTTAACAGAACAGGGGAGAAAGGCCATTATTTGTGAAACCCTCTTACCATCTTTATGATTCTAACGGTTCTCCACAAAATGCCCTATCCATATTAGACATGCAAAATGCCATTTTTATATTACACAAAGAGATAAGACACTTAATGGTTAGCTTTTGTTCATATGATACATTCTTTCATAGGCTCAAACTGTTTCACTTATGCCTGCTTACCTACAGAGTGTTGGGGAAAATATTCACACCACTATGTGTGAAAGTAGAATGTGTATTGACCACATATACATGTAGCTCTTATATGAGGAAAGAGTCACAGCTCATTCGCAGAGCACATGCTTTGGATGCGAAAGGTCCCCCAGGTTCAATTCTAGTATCCATGTTGCGTCGAGAAAGCTGCCAATCAACATGGACAATTCTTTACTGCATGTTCTGATCTGGTACAGAACAGCTTCCCCTATTTTACATGGAAGCTAACGACCAATATATGTTACTACTATGGTTCCTCTGCCATCTATCTCTGGAAAGCAGGAGTTACCATCACCAGCTAAAAAGGTAAAAGTAAAGGACCCCTGGACAGTTAAATTCAGTTGAATTCGACTATGAGGTGCAGTGCTCATCTCGCTTTAGGCAGAGGGAACTGGCGTTTGTCCACAACATTCCGGATCATGTGGCCATCATGACTAAACCGCTTATGGTGCAATGGGACTCCATGACGGAAGCCAGAGCGCACGGAAATGCTGTTTACCTTCCCACCACAGCGGTACCTATTTATCTATTTGCACTGGTGTGCTTAAGCTGGGACAGAGCAACTGGAGCTCACCTTGTCACATGGATTCGAACCGCCAACCTTCTGATCAGCAAGTCCAAGAGGCTTAGTGGTTTAGACCACAGCACCACCATGCAGACTAGGTGATGTGGACTCACTGAAAAGTGTCTTGTCTGAGAACGCCCCCAAATCGTGGAGCCAGCATAGAGCATACTCTTTAAAATACTTACATTTATCTGTGTTACTCCACTCTTCATTTTTTCTGTCAATCCACTTCAAGCTCCGAATTACTAATGCCAATGTACAAAAATCAATATGGGGGAAATCCTGTTATTCTTCCAGCAAAAATAGCTCATCTAGAAAGGGGGGAAAAGATGCGACTTTCTGAAATTGCTCTTTCTTAAAAAGAGCACTTTGAAAATAAAGCAGACCTAAACAAGCTAATATTTCTATTAACAAAAATTAAATCACCTGGTTTGTACAACAAATGAATTTGGTTAGTGTCTTTTTGAAGCTAGTACAGTACCATCACTTTGTAGTTTTGTAAGTTAAGTATCTGAACAATTATCCGGTGTAATTAACCTACAGAAAAGTAAAACAACAAAGATGCAGATTACACCACTTGTCAGCCACCATCGCCATATGCTACAGGTATCTCTAAAACAGGGCGGTTGTTAACATCAGGACTAGAACTAAAGCTGTACTTCTTTGGTCCATTTACAAGCCACCCTTCTGTGAAAAAAGCAGCAGCAGCAGCAGCCTAGGGCAACATACAGCCTGAAATAACAAGTGCCATAAAACATTGATTTGTTTTGTTGATCAAGTGGCATATAGATCCTGCAAAACAATAAGCAGCTGCAAAAGCCTCCAATAATATCAGTAAAGTTAAATATATATATATATGAACTCTAGGTTTCCCGAGGTGGGGCTGGTGGTGACATATGTGGAAATACAAAGGTGTGTACCTCAAGTGGGGGGCCCCATAACCATCCAGATGCTGGCAGGCCACCAAACCCCACCGTCCCCAAAAGGGGAGATGGGGGGGGGGTGCGAGCCCGCCAGTAAGGGGAGCACGAGTTGGCAGCTGGTTATTGCCCTTGAAGGGAGAGAAGCCGGCTGACACAACCCCACAGGGCATTGTGGCAGGGTGACAAGGCAGCCAGCTGGCAATCCCCACAAGGCGCCAGGACCCGGCCTCGTTGGGCACGTTCACGTGTGAACGCGGGCCCACTCGCGTGTCATAGAAGAGCCGCCCCGCCAGGAGTCGGAGGAGAAGCGAAGGAGCCGGGCCTTCCGCCCTTACCCAATCGAAGGCCAGGAAGAGCGGCGGCCGAGAGGAACGCGCCATCCTCCCCTCCCCCCCCCCGCCGTTCCCGCGATAAATCGGAGGGAGGGGAATGGAACGGAGCAGAACCGAAGATTCTAAGGGGGGTGTGTGAGAGGAGAAATCTATCCTCCCTCCGGACCCGCTCCCCTTCCTTAAAACTTACCTCTGCCTCACGGGCTCCGCCATAACATGCGCCCATATATGGCCACGACGTCACTTCCGCTGCCTCGCGGGCCTGGTCCGAGACGAGACTTCCGGGCGCGCGGGTGAGGCGGGGAGGAGCCGTTGGGCTTCTTTCTCCTCCTCATGGGATATCTATATCTATCTATGTATTTATCTATCTATGAACGTTTAGTTAGAGCGGTACCCGTTTTATGAGGAGATATTCCGGCCCCGCGCGGGAACTTTTGGGGAGGGGGAGGAGGCGGGCGCTGACGTCACCAAGTCGGCTGTTAACAGCGAAGGTGGATCTTCTGGAGCGGCTCTTAATGAAGCTACAGTTCCCGGCATCCTTTGCCGGCGGCGTCGGCCACGTTTCCCAGCATTCCTTGGGGCGTTGCACCTGTCAAGTTGTACGAATCCTCGAGGGTGCCATTGTGCCCACAGGTGTGGCAACCCCAGACTTAAGACCCATGATATGTTCTACAGGGCTTATTCTCATTGAAGCGTCAATTCCCATTTAAGCATAATTCTTAGGTTAGCAGCCTGTGACTTTGCCTCAGAGACAATGGTAAACATGGCAAAGCGCTGGGCTTCAAAAGTATGTTAAGTCAGTGTTAAGACTTTATTTTTGTTCCATTTATATTTCATATTTTAAAGTAAAAAAAAAAAAAGGTTGCCATCTTAACATTTTGCAACCAGGCTCGCCGGGAGGGGGAGGACCCGTAGCCCAAAAAGCCCCATGTCTAATCTGAACTGCAGATAATAATCAACATAAATAACAAGAACAATAAAAGAATGATAACTATCCTTTCAATGAGCTGTTTTTCGAACAAGTTGTTTGTGCTGAATATGCTGGGGTTGCTAATTAGCATTTTTATTTAAACACAGTGAGTTGTTGATGAAATTGCCCCAATTCAACAATCTGGCAGAAGCGCTGTTTTAACACCTATCTCATAGGAGGAAATATAACAACCGTCTGCTTAGATGCTATAGCTATAACCCGTTTTGCTGATGAAGCAGCAGGCTCTTTCACTACAAGAATGCTACCCTTTGCAGTTTCTTTCTGAAAGGCGAGACCAAATATGCTGTGGGTATATACAGAAAGCATCTGTAGAAACTGTCTATAGAAATCTGACTTAGAGAGGAGAAAGATTCATTTGCAAAATTATTTTGTGACAGCAGAATGCATAAATGTGCCTGTCCTTTAGTTGTATTTCTCTGACCTCATATTTACCAGTACAAGCCCAGTTCACTTTACTGAAGTCAGCAGTGGCAAAACATTTCCCAGCACCTAGAAATGTACAAGTTTTGCTTATCCACATATTTTAATAAGCTCTGGATTTGTTTTTCTAAAACCTACACAAAAATTCTGCTCAGCCATAGCGACTGATCTTTCAAGGACAAACCAAGGATGAAAGCCAAAAGCCACCTTTTCCACTTTTGCTATTTGCTAAAGGTCCTATTATTTCTGCTGTATTTTGTATTCTTTTCCTATGTAAAAACCTTACCTCCGTTGATCTTAAAAATCAAACGGGTGTTTCTTCTTCAGGCTGAAAAATATACTAGAATAATATAGTGGGTGATATTCAGCAAAATATTTGTGTGAGCAGAGTGATGTGTCCCCCACATCCCCAAATCTGCTCCAGAGGGTTGGGGGAATCCCCAGGACAGATTTAGGGTGATGTGGCGTGAAGAGAGCAGGTAAATACTCCATTATGCAAACAGAAATCTTTCTGCTTGCACAATGCAAGGTCTACTTAGTTCTGCTTTGTATAAAACCTAATTATTCCACAATATGCTATGGATAATTAAAAATATATCTCAGCACCTGCATTGTGAGAAATTGCAAGATGTGCACTGTATGGTGCCATATTAGTCAGATGCACACTCTGAGATCAGGGATGGGGAACCTGTGACCATAAGCTACAAGCAACACATCCAGTGGTCATGGGTTATGGGAGTCCAACAATGTCTGGAAGACCACAAGCTCCCCATCTCTGATTTAGATGTTTGTGCAATAGAGACAAGGTGTATTTGTCTTGAATCTCAGTTTGAGGGAAAAGGTGGGATATAATGTAAATTAATAAATCAGCTTCTTAGTATGGGGATGGTCATCTGCATGTTGTATGTTCCGGTCAACTGTATAACCTTGTAGTTATTCATAACTAAATTTATATTTTTTTCTGACATGTTTTATTTTTTATGAAGTTGGTACCTGCTCCTGAATTCCTGTGGACAGTATATTCTTTATACTAATATTCTTTATTTATAGTCTACTGTTCCACTTGAAGACCTTTAAAATGGCTTGCAGTATTAAAAAACTCAGTGCCGCTCATTTAACTAGTCATGTTGACAGCTCCATTATCTAGTATCCAGATGAGAGCATTTGCCTTCCACTTACCTAGGAGACCTTAGCACGCAAGGCAACCAGGGAAACTGGAGCTCTCTGTGTGGTACAGTTGGCCTTGAGCTTCAGTCGTTTTCAGTGAGATGGTGTTTCAGAAGGAACAGGAAGTGCAAGTGTATTGTGCTTCCTGTTCCTCTGCACCTCCATCTTGATTTATATAGAATTGTCATAGGAGATGACCATATTCCAGGTATGGGGAACATATGATAATTCTGTTTCAGACAAAATAAAGATCCAGAGGAACAGGAAGCTCAACACACTTGCTGCTTCTTGGATTTTCTACAACGTTGCGAAGTCCAGTGCTGTGCTTATTTGATATGAAAACAGTGTGCTCTGATGTATGATACATGCTTCTTCAGGGGATAACAGAAATGCATTAATATAGAATTTGCCATGTTAACCTATTTAAATCATGTTGTATTAACATGAGTTTGGCCCTACCACCTGGTACTGTGTCACGTCAAATCAAATATTCTGACAGAAGGACATAATTTTACTCAGAGCCAGATGTTTTCGGAACAGATTGAAAGGCAAACACCATTCTGTAACATAAAATGTACCATTCTGCTAGTTTGTGTCTTGGTTTTTAACTGTGATGCTTTAAGTAAGTTTACTTAAAGTAAATTTGAAATGAAACAAAATGACTTTGCTCGTCCTTAATGAAACATCAGGTCACTCCCACAGGCTGGTGGAGCTGCAGTTAGATGGTTAATAGCTTACTTTTGAAATGGTGCCCTGGAATTAAAACAGGTTCCCATTTTATCTTCAATCCTTTGTGTCATTTAATCCCAATGTTTCTGACCTTTCTGCTGATTTTATACCAGAGTAGTTCTGACTTATCAGGATAATGCCCTCACCCCTGATTTATGCTGATGTAATTGAAGGCAGAATTGACTTGTGCATTTTTAAAAGGAAGAGAGTGCTTCTATGCAATTTTAAAATAGCATTGGCTGGCTGAATAACAACCTATTCTAGCAGGGAAGTTACAGCTATTCTAGCAGGGAAGTTACAGCTCTCTGTGAAATGGGAAGTCGCATATGCCAGAGGGCAGTGACAGGGAATGCGATAAAGACTGTAAATGAATAAACAAATATCAATAATTTTGCATAATGGGTTCAGTTTTGTTGAATTAAATGGGAGCTTATGAGCAAACAGTGATGAGGCATAAAGGTCTCATGTGATAGTGTAAGAAGACTACTGGTCAGTCTCTACCAAGTATTGTGATGATGACAATGCTGCAGGAGAAATGGTTGTATTGTGCTGGTTCTTATGTAAGGAGCTTGTTCTGCTTTGGTGAGGGCAGCCATGGACCCCTATGCAGCAGCAACTTAAGAAGCATTAGAACAATCCAGGTTTGTCTGTACCAGTTTAGCGCTGCACCTTTGGGATGAATACTGACTGTCCAGCTTTTAGGGTGTTCAGTGAGCCAGATTTGCATGAGGCAACCTCAAGATACTGTATTTGAATGGAGCCAGTACAGTTTGGTGGGTCCTGCATCCCTGAGAATTTAGGAACTTGGAGGATGAACAATGTTGTCACATAAAAATCATGGTTATAGCTGGTGCTTGGTGACCTACTTGCAAATGATAATTTATTTTTCTTTCTAGGTAACTCATAGTAAAGCTAATTATAGCTACTTATGCTTCCTTCCCATTGACTAACCTCATCAGTGGCTGGATTGAAAACCCCATATAAACTATGATCAGTATTTGAAAGGAAGATTCACAATCAGTCACAACATACCATCCTGGGCTACTGTTATGTCCATACGGTTTTTTCATGAGATTATTTGTTCCTTTTTTCTCTGACGTTGGATTGGACAGCTTGGTAACACTGTATGTTTCTCTCTCACCCACACACCAAGCAGGAAATCCTTATTGGGAAATGAAATTGCTTCACTGATGGCCATATGGCCCTATATCTGTGGACACCTGTTCGCAGCATGGGGCAAGAAAAAGGAATATTTCTTGCAGAGCAATTTTGGAGAACTCTAAACATTATCTGCATTTGCAGCCTTTAAACTGGGGAGCATTGCACTATGGGGATGAGCATGAAGATTCAGGTAAAGGCAATTCACCATTTGTGGTCTCTAACCTCACATGACTGTCTAGTTAATGTCCTGTCTGTTTTGATGATTCACTTGGTGGCTTGGAGTTAAATGTTTTGACAGCTGAAATATTACATGATCAATGAGGGCGGAGGAAGCAATATTTTTGACGCAACACAGCTGTTTTCAGATTTGAATGAGCTTGCCTCAGTTCAAGAGAAATCCAAGCTGATAGTTTGAGCCCAAATCATGTCAGGACAGTGAAAGTTGCACTTAAGGTTCTACCAACTAGATTTGAAATAGCTGTATTTTCATCTGGAAAGGGCATGTAGAATGGGGAAAACTTTACCTGTTGGCTTTCTGCTCATTCTGTCCTGCCAGGATTCAAAGAATTGTAGAGTTGAAAAGGAACCATGAGGGCCATCTAGTTCAATCCCCTGCAGTACAGGAATATTTCGCCCAACGTGGGGCTCAAACCTACAACCCTGACAAAGGTGGCCACCAGACCTGCTCCCCACAAATCAGATGTCTGCAAAGCAGTCTCAGCTGTGTCATGTCTGTTCCCTGTCTGTATATTCATTCACTTCCAAAAGACCCTGCTGTACAGTCTGAAAGCAAAGCTACAGAGGATAAGGCTATCAGTGGCTACCAGTCATTGATGGCATATGTATTGCCTCTGAATGACAGTTGCAGTGGAACACAAGCTGGACAGCATATTGGTAGATAATCTCTATTGCTTGTAGAAGGTCTCAGCTTCAATTCCTGGAATCCCCAGGTTAAAGAACCCTGCCTGAAGCTCAGAGGAGGTGCTGCTGGTCAGTGTAGATAGTACTGAGTTAGATGGGCCAATGGTTTGACTCAGTAGAAAACAGTATCTTATGTCACTATATGGCATTGTGGTTGGCCATTGTGGGAACAGAATGCTGGACTAGATGGGTCTTTGGTTTGATGCAGCAGGGAGTCGAACGGGACCATTAAAATTCACTGCAAAGTGCAGATTTCTAAAGTGGTCTGCCTTGTCTCCAATCAGTGCCTATAATTTATTTGATTCTGCATCTTGATTGCCACTGAAGCACAAGCAATTTTCCCACTACTTCAGAGACATTATAGATTATGCTTTTCATCTGCCCTTGCAAAGAAATTGCACAGAACATGGAAAAATACAAACAACAAATCCCACCATGGATTCTTAGAAGTTTAGCGAGAATGTTTTAAACGAGTACTTTTTCAAATGAGGTTTAAAAGTTGATTAAAAGTAATCTCTGTCTCTCCCCCCCACCATAAAACCTTTAAAGAGTAAACAATATATGTACAAAAGGGTAACCCATAGATATTTTCTATCTTTAAGTAATGAGTTCTGATATTACTTGTCATTGCCTAGGAATGATATCATCCAAAAATTTGTTTGAAATCCAAATCCTGAAAATTCTTCCTAAATTGCTTAAGAAGATGAAATATAATTTCAAGCTTCCTTACAGGCACATATGCAAGCACCCAGGACAGATTGGATGTTTGTCAGTTCCTTTATACAGAGTAACATGAGCGACTCTAGGGACGCAGCCGCATGGAAGAAATAGATCATGCTTGACCTGGTGCACTGCTTTCTGTGCCTGCACACAACGATTCAACAATGATTCTATTTTCAGTGGTCAAAGAAGCAATACAGCACGATAAGATACGTTGGTACGGATATTTCCAAATCTGAAATACAGTATTAAGATTTATAAGGGAGATTGAAAATGCAGTCATAAAGAAAGGCAAATACCAATTATCTAGGATATATAACCTCTTGCTAAAGTATGATAGGGAACAGGAATAAGTAAAATAATACATGATAAGGAGGGCTCAGGACATAGGGAACAACACAAAACATGGACGTGCAGGAGAAATAATAGGGAAAGGACCACAAATCGTTGCTGAACACAAATGTAAGAGAACATTGTTTCAAAGCTATGATACAGTGGCAACTGACTCCTGTAATTATTGGTGTATTAAGTTAATTGTATTCAAAAAATATGCAAAAAACAGAACATATTGCCACGTGGTCTACATAGTATCATAGAATTGCAGAGCAAGAAGGGACCCTAAGGGCCATCTAATTCAACCCCCTGCACTCTCAGCTGAAGCACCTATGACAGATGTCCATCCACCCTCTACTAAAAACCTCCAAGGGAGGAGAACTCACAAGCTCCCGAGGGAGACTGTTGCACTGTCGAACAGCTCTTGCCATCAGAAACGTCTTCCTGATGTTTAGTCAGACTCTCCTTCCTTGTAACTCAAATCCATTGGTTTGGGTCCTAGCCTCCAGAGCAGGAGAAAACAACCTTGCTCCATCTTCCATGTGACAGCCCTTGAGATATTTGATGATGGTTATTATATCTCTCAGTCTCCTCCTTACCAGGCTAAACATACCTAACTCCCTCAACCATTCCTCATAAGGCTTGTTTTCCAGACCCTTGATTATCTTGGTTCCCCCCTCTGCACACATTCCAGCATGTCAATATCCTTCTTAAATTTTGGTGCCCAGAACTGGACAAAGTACTCTGGGTGTGGCCTGACCAAAGCAGAATAGAGCAGGACTGACTTTCCTTGATCTGGGCACTACAGTTGATGTAACCTAGTAGAGCGTTAGCATTTTTTGCTGCTGCATCACACTGTTGACTCATGTTAAGCTTGTGGTCTACTAAGAACTCTAGATCCTTATTATATGTACTACTGGCAAGTCAGGCATCCCCCACCTTATATTTGTACAGCTGGTTCTTCCTGCCTAAGTGTAGAAACTTACATTTTTCCTGTTGAAATTTATTTTGTTAGTTTTGGCCCAGTTTCCCCAAATACCGGAAAATGATTATTAGAATAATAACAAAAATATTGAAATATTAAGTTCCCTTAGAATCCAGTACTGATGCTGCTGAACTATATGCCACCTATCATAAAGAAAGCATCCTATCTGCAGCTGCAAGATTTTTAATGGATTGAAACTGGAAAGTTATACTACTCCCTTCTTGGAAAGAATAGCTTAATAAAGGTTAGGAATTGGGGGGGGGTCATATTTAACAACAAGAATTGAAGTGACCCTATTACGTGATCCTATCCACTCTTACCTGGGTCCAATCAAATACAGTTAGATTACTTATGAGTAAATATGACTTGAATGGCACTCCATACCTTTACTCTTTCTGCTCCAAAGTGCTCGAGGTAGCGTTAAAAATACGAAATTACAAAAAACCCTACAAAACCCCCACCCCCAAAACCAAATAGATAAATAAAGCTATAAAGTTACTTTATAAAAAGGACAAATTAGCAGCATCCGATATGTACAGTGGTGCCTCGCAAGACGAAATTAATCCGTTCCGCGAGTCTCTTCGTCTTGCGGTTTTTTCGTCTTGCGAAGCACGGCTATTAGCGGCTTAGCGGCTATTAGCGGCTTAGCGGCTTAGCGGCTATTAGCGGCTTAGCGGCTTAGCGGCTTTAAGAAAAAGGAAACAAACTCGCAAGAACTCGCAAGACGTTTCGTCTTGCGAAGCAAGCCCATAGGGAAATTCGTCTTGCGGAACGACTCAAAAAACGGAAAACTCTTTTGTCTAGCGAGTTTTTCGTCTTGCGAGGCATTCGTCTTGCGGGGCACCACTGTAATCCAAAACCAGCAAGCAGTATTTAACCAGTCAGTAACACACCTTTGCAAAGGCCTTCCTAAATTGAAATGTTTTGATCTGCTAGTAAGAAACAGGGAGATGGCCAAATGGATCGCTTTTTCTTGGCTGGTTGATTGATGTGTTACTCAAGGCTCTTCAATATGTTACCACTTGCAACGGAAGCTGCTGATGAAAACCCTTTATGCATGACAGTGTGTGTTGGCATTGGAAAGGAGACTCTCCAGGCTGTTGGTAAAACTTGCAAATAACATTCCTCTCCCTCCTTGCTAGACTGTTGCTATGCAAAAGCAATTTTAATGGCCATGTGGGGCCTGAGTGTTTAATTTGGCCTAAATCTTGTGACTTAAGAAGATTTCTGTCTTGAAGTGTTTCTAGGACACAGGAAGATGCCGTATACTGAAGAAGATCTTTGGTCCATTTAACCAAGTATTGCTGACACTGTCTGGCAATGGGTTTCCAGGATATTGGGCAGGGGCCCCTCCCAGCCCTATCTAAGATGCTAGGCAGTGAACCAGGAATCTCTTTCTATGCTGTACTACTGAGCCATGGTTCTCCTTCAATTACTAGCCTGGACACCAGTCCAACACCCACACAGCCTCTCCCAATTCCGAGAGAGAGAGAAAGAGAAGATGTTCTCTTATTTGTTCCAAATATCAATCCAGTAAATATGACTGGTCTTTGCTGTTGTTGCTTTCAGCCTACAAATGATATGTAATTATGCCCAGCCACCTAGTTTCATGGAGTTTCCTTTACACTGAAATGAATGGGGTTGATGGACTTGAATAAGTTAATGACAACATAATTTATGTAATTTTGCAGGAGTGGACAGCAAGATGAATAATGTAGTTTTTGGTGGAAGTTGGACTGCAGCGGAATAGAAACAGTACTGCGTGCAATTAATGCAGGGCATAACGGAAAACAAATCTCCCTGCACATGCTTTGGCAAGCTGCATAAAATATCCAGATACTAAAAATAACTTTCGCAAAGAAATCTTGTCAAAAGTTAAAAAGGTAAAGGTAAAGGACCCCTGACAGTTAAGTCCAGTCACAGACGACTCTGGGGTTGCGGCGCTCATCACGCTTTACAGGCCAAGGGAGCCGGCATTTGTCTGCAGACAGTTTTCTGGGTCATATGGCCAGCATGACTGAGCCACTTCTGGTGAAACCAGAGCAGCGCATGGAAACGCCGTTTACCTTCCCGCCAGAGCGGTACCTGTTTATCTACTTGCATTTTTGGCATGCTTAAGTTACTGGGTTTTCAATTATTGCATTGTTTACAAAGCTCTTTCAGAACTCATTCATTCCAGTTTGAGCTCCATACCATACATTTTGCAGTGCATCTTTATAGCCTGAGCATAGCTTTTACTGTCTCTGCAAAAAGCACAAAATTTCTTCCTTTTTAGTCCCCATGCAGATTGAAGATAATTTTCAAGTAAGCCTTTGGCAACATTTCTGAACAAAATTAAGATCAGGTTAGAAATAAATTGGCTTTGTGTCTGAAGTCTCGGTGGAGCTTTCAGGGCGAAATGATGATTCAGCCGATAAAACTAGGTTGAGACAAGGGCAGCTCGTTTCTGTGATTAACAAAAGGCCTGAAAAAAGGAAAGGAAAGGTAAATAATGCCAAGGCAGAAGGTTCATATAAGGGCTCATAAGAGTTTATGCTGTGTAATGTTAGAAGCAAAACAAGATCTGGGCTCTTACATTTGTTTCTTTTTTTATGTAGAACATTTTGAAGGTGTGTACATTATCTTTGGCTCAACCCTCAGGCAAAAGCAAGTTTTCTGCTTGATGGGAATGCCTCTATACTACTCCAATGCCTCTGTACTCTGTACTTTCTACCTCTATAGAAAATATTGATTTGCTACATTTAGCATATGCCCTTTCTAAAAAGGAGCTCCAAGCGGCATACCGAACCAGCTACAGAGGTGGAAGTAGATTTGGTACTTTTTAGAACCCACATATGTTCATTTCTTATATCAGTAACTGGTAGGGTAGGCACTGCACGTAGCATCGGATAGGTGGCTCTCTCTTCAAGCATTGTAGTACTGGCAGAATTCTTGCTTCAAAATTTAAATTCCATGCAATCTTATTTTACCAGTAGCTACTGTCATAGGCTTTAATGGAGGCAGGAAAACCATAATAACCACTGCTCAAAGGCTCACCAAACCAATGAAAGGTTGTCTTCCTTGGTAAACTGGAATAAAGTACATCAGCAGTTTTTGCCAAAATTGGAAAGAAATGTATGATATACTTGTTCAAAAACTGGAGGGGAAAAATGGGAAATGTGTTAGTTTTCAAAAAAATTTAATAGGCGGTATCTTTTGCAATTTTTCTGGGATCAGTCTGTTATACTTACAGTATAGATTTCATCAGGTACATTGTGTATGCCAAGTTTCAAGTTACTAGGTTAACAGGTGTCATTTTAAAAACTATAGATTATAAAGGTGGATTTTGGATTGGGGTTTTTTGCTACATAACTACATCCTTTTAATAACACAGCCAAATTGCAAAGGTCTGCAACCAAAACAATCAATTCAAATCAATGCTGATAAAATAGTTGCTCTCTGTCTAGCCCACCTCCTCTTTTTGTCTAGTCTTTCCAGTGGTCTTGACTGACACCATGGTTTTGTATTTTATCTTCTGCATAAGAGCAGATGTGAGAGAAGATGTTGGAGGTTTTTTTTGGGGGGGAGGGGGAGAAATGCTGCCCTTGTGTGCTTCACTAGGAATGGGATGATATAATAAGTACTTTAAATACTCCCTATCCTCAACCTCCATCCTCATGTATGGAAGTGAGAGCTGGACCATAAAGAAGGCTGATTGCCGAAGAATTGATGCTTTTCAAATATGGTGCTGGAGGAGAGTCTTGAGAGTCCCATGGACTGCAAGAAGATAAAGCCTATCCATTCTGAAGGAAATCAGCCCAGAGTGCTCACTGGAAGGACAGATCCTGAAGCTGAGGCTCCAATACTTTGGCCAACTCATGAGAAGAGAAGACTCCCTGGAAAAGACCCTGATGTTGGGAAAAGATGGAGGGGACAAGGAGAAGGGGACGACAGAGGACGAGATGGTTGGACAGTGTTCTCGAAGCTACCAGCATGAGTTTGACCAAGCTGCGGGAGGCAGTGGAAGACAGGAGTGCCTGGCGTGATCTGGTCCATGGGGTCACGAAGAGTTGGACATGACTAAATGACTAAACAACAACAAATCCTCAACCAGGTGCAGAGAGAGAGAATGTGTGTTTCTCTGAAGAATTATTAGGCAATTGATGCTGACTTGCCAGCAAAATAAATGCATGTCTTGGTGCTTCTTGATCTCTCTGAGTCGTTTGATACCATCAACTATGGTGTCTTTCTGGAATGGGAATTGGGGGGCACTGTGCTATAGTGGATCTGGTCCTGATCTGGATCTGGGACTGGGTCCAGAAGGTAGCATTGGGGGAGTGTTTTTCTGTCCCCTGGCAGTTGGGGGTGCTACACTATTTTGTCCCCAGTTCTATTTAATACCCAAATGAAGCTGCTGGGAGTGGTCATTAGGAGTTTGGGGGCAAGGTGCCTTCAGCAGGTTTATGACACTTAGCTCTGTTTCTCCTTAACAAGCTGTGCAAGGTTGGCATAATCATAAATGCATCAAAAGCATTGTGTTTGATTTGATTTGAAGGTTCTGTTTCAGGTATTTGATCTAGAGGCAAGACCTTCAGCAGACACTGCACGTCCATAGGGGATGTATGTGTGAAACAGCCTTTAGGTCAAGGGCAGGGAACCTGTAGCCCATTCTCTATTGGCCATGCTGGGGGGGGGGGGTTGATGGGCGATGGGGCTGATGGGAGAAGGAGTCTAAAGACCCTAGAGATTTTCTAGCTCTGAGAGCAGAGGTGCAGACATTGCCCTCCCTGTCTGTTCTCTCTCTCCCCCCGCCTGCCACCACTCTATTTTTGTAAAATTATGAATGCATTGGGACACTGCTAATGGTGCGAATTAGAAAGCTGTAAAAACATAGGGTGTGCATTATGCTTATGCTGGTAATTAAAATGTCAATAAAACATTGATAGAAGCTCAGACGCCATGGAAATGAAGTAATGTTTACTTAATAGATGTGTTGCCTTCTCTCCCACACCAATGAGTCATTTAGAAACTTGTGGTGCTACATGATAATGATAGTTACAAGACAGATCATTAGTAGGGTAGTGGAAGTAAGTAAATATGGGGTCCTCTGCTTCAGAGGCTGCAGTCCTATGCACACTTACCAGGCAGCAACTTCCATTGA